CGGTACATGGTTTCGTTCGCGTCGAAGTACGCCTGGAGCAGTCGGTCGCATACGCCCTTGTTGGGCAGAATATCAGCCATGCGCTTTTGGAGCGGTAGCATGGACTCGACGAAGATGGGAATCGGGGACAAGGATCTCTGGTATTCGGCACGTAGTACGGTATGAAGCCTTTTGAAACTAGAGAATATTTCCCTCGTCTCTCGATCTTTGGCATGGTCGCGCATGAAGTCTTTTGCTTCGTCAAACTAGTGAGGGGATGGTCGTTAGTATCCGTCATCCGCCAGAGGTAAGAGCTAGAAGGAGTCAGCACTCACAAGATTCAACAACACACGAGGGCTCCCCGGGCCATGGAGGCGCGCCCTCTGCCCCCCAAGCTTGACAGACAAGGCGCGAACCGTCTTGGCTGAGACTTCAAGCGATCTCCTCCAGCCTCCAGCCTCGCTGTCTGCCGAGTTTCGAGGCTGTAGACGCTTCTCCAAGCTCTCTATCCGATCCAGCAGTAGCTCGAGTGAAGGTTGTTTCAAAGCCGGGTCTCCGTTGCGAAAGGGCGTGTAGAGTGGCTCTGTAACTGTGGACATGACCGTAGCTGATTTCAGAGGCGCCATTGGTGCCGCGGGAAGACAATTGCGTTTCGTCGGTCGCGCGGAATCGTTTATCTCGCTGTCCGAGGCGTCGGAGAGGTTCGCGGTGTCGTTGTCGGCGGCATACTTGCAGATTCGGCTCGACTTTTGGCATTGGGAGCAAGGACACGAGCGGTCGCAGCGCAGCTTCCGCTTGCGACACTCGGTGCAAGACTTGACGGGTCGGGGGCGCTTCACGCTGCGCGGTAGAGACAGAGGCTGGTGCAGCTGCTGCGGCGGCGGGGACTGCTGGGGCTTGAGCTGTTTCTGATGCTGGAGGGAAGGCTGCTGGGAGAGAGGCGTGTCGTAGGGCGCAGGCGCGGAGGGGTTAGTGGGCGTCATGATGGTCGAAGAAGCAGTAGGGCCTGGCTCCATCACGTTGGAGTAGGCGAGCGCCATTCATCTATTCATCCGGACGTCCTCCCGACAGCCTACGTCTCCGGTACGACAGATGGGAAGCTTTGCTGACGGGCGAGGTGTCGAGCAGTCGTGTGCGTGCTGCCGGCAGTCTTGGCGTATGGTTGAGCTTTCGGCAAGCGGAGGCAGCAAGCTGTAACTCGGGGTCGTCCAGTCCTAGGGAAAAGGTCGGCAAGTGCTGTACAACGTAGCTGGGGGATCCCGAGCGGCTGAAGCGAAGCTAACGAGTGTAGTTGTTGGAGCTGGTAAGGAAAGGCAACGGTTGGCTCTGTGGAGCAGGTGGTATGGTCTTAGATGGTATATATGTGGTGACGACTATGGGCACAGAAATCGGCACTCGAGGTACGGGGGGGTGTGGGATCCGCCCTTCCAGGATCTACTCGTACCTTTTCACCTAGCCTTCAGCATTGGCCCTCGGACTGGAAAATGCTTGGAGGACTGACTTGTTAATTAAATTGGGTGGGTGGTGGCCCTGCTTTTTGGGGCGAATCCGACAGGTTGGATCTGGGGGGGACCGTCCTCGGGTTGGCCGCCGCTTGGATCTGGGGCGTTGGTTAGGGCGTAAGAGGAGTAGAGGATTCAGGACTGCAGTGCTCTGACAGCTCTGTGTGGCATCCAGAGCTCCAGCTCAGCTCAGCACCTACTACAGGACTGTAGTGTTCTATGTATGGATGAGACACGGCGGTTGGAGGCCCCTAAGGATCTAGTGCCGACCGCAACACGTCCGACGCCACGCTATTTACAGTGCGCCACCGCCTCTGCTGCCACACACGGGCGAGGCGGCCTGGTTCGTACGAGTAGCAAGACAAACCCGAGAGCTGAAAAGGGCCGAGTGTCCGAGGCGGCAGGCCAGAGCGTATCACAATCAACAATGAATGGAAAAAGAAAGGACGCAGGATGGGGGCAGGGATGCGTGAGCGTCGATGCGCCAGTGACTCAAGAGGTCAGGCTGCCCAGTATCCTGCCTATATCAGCATTCTTGCCGGAAGCTGAGGATAGGGCGAGGGAGGTGAGGCGGGGCGAGGCGAGGCGAGGCCTTGCGCTGAGTCGATGGGGGATTCTCCTTACAGTCAGCCGGATTCTCCTGCACTCGGCCGTGGATTCCGGCCTGGGGCAGGCATCATCACAGCTGTCGGAGATATCAACTAATAGCAGGCAAGGGCCGTCAGGCTGGTCATGGTCATGCGACAAGGCGCCCAACGGCACGTGTGCTGCTACTGGACCTCCTAATGAGGGTGTACAGGGCGCACTGGCATCCCAAATCGTGCTGACACTTGGGCCTTTATTAGCAGCCCCCAACCACAGGCAGGTAGCAGCCAGCAGGGCCTGCCGACGGGAGCCTGTGCAACGTCCTGGTCGGCTCCTGAAACCACCACAGGCGATCGACGGCGTCTACACGAGAACAAGCAACTCGTTGAGCGTCTTGACGTAGTTGCAACCTCATCATCCACGGCTCCACGCATGACGACGATGCTTGCTGGGCGCACCGGCAGTCCGCGGCACGCACGCGCGATGCCATAAACTAACACGCTATGTACCGTTTGACAGCAGAGGGACCTGCACCTGCGCCTTGGAACATCGCCTTGGGAACCCAGCCAGGGATTGGATGCCACTCCTCTGTCAGCCTGTCAGCCATCGCAGTGAAGCGAACCGAACAGCTGCGTGAGAAGCGAGACACTTGCATATGCAGACGAGCACCATCCCTTTCTCCTTGCTTCTAGCCTCATCCATTGGTCCTCACGCCGCCTGGGTTTGCTTTTTCCGTGCTCGACACTTGCTATTGTGGCGAGCATTGGGAAAAAGAAACTGGTGTCTTGGGCACCAGAAAGCACCACGGGCCTTCATAGCTGCCCATCCGCTCCACCTGCTGGATGGCCCCAATCTCGCTAGCCCTCGTCCTGGTTGACGATCTACTCGCTGAGAAGCTGCTGGCTAGCACAACGGCCGGCCCTCTCATCTGCCGTGGCCCCAGCGGCCGGACCCAGACCATTGTCCCCTTTTCTTTGTCTTGCAACTCGGACGCCTACCAATCCCCGCCCAGCTGTTGGAGCGTGTAAATTATCAATAATGCTCCTGCTATTCGTCACAGCCTGGCCTCAGATGTGCTCTTGCTCTGTTGGGCCTGCTCACAGACCCGTGCGACCGGCCCATTTCCTCCCTCGTCATCAACACTCTTCCAATCAAGAACCGAGTGCTACCAGATGGGCATTAAATTGTGTAGCCCCCTTCTACCCCCCATCTCGTATCTAAAAATTTTCTGGTCAAAATGTCCGAGCTGAACTTTGAGCTATCACCCGTTGTCCCAGCCCCGGCCCCAGCAACAGTCATGGCAGTTGGGCCAGAGCGAACCGTGATACGCTGGCAGTGGGCTCGACCCAGCATCATGACCTGGGCAGATTAAACCCTTCATGCAGCTAAATTCTACGCAAGAGCCGATGGAAACATGGCACGTGGCCACCTTGGCGTCCCTGGCGAAATTGTCAATCGCTGCGCCTGATCGAACCAGAGACTACTTCAGAGTCAGGACACCTCCATTGGGTGGTTGCCATCATGTCTGCCCATGCTGCCATGGCCACCGCATGCCTTGGCATCTTTTATTAGTCTCAACGTTGCGACCTGCACATCTCGCGACGAGGAAAAACGCCCACCCTCATCACCAGCCAAGGCGCGGCAGAAGATGCCTAACATCACGCTGATCAGAGTGGCAAAACCCCGAGTGCTACGCAGTCAAGCAGTGCCCCCAGGCACCGGACAACGTCATTGGCACAAGGCTATTTGCAAAGTCGCTGATTGGCATCGAACGGGAGATCACCACGAATACGTGAGCAGGGGGGTCGTTGTGGCGAAGTGGGCAACGTCAGCTTAGTATTCGCTGTGACCAGAATAAAACCTACGGGCTGAGACAGTTCTGGCCCAGACCTGCCCAGTCAAAAGCAGCAGCCGGGGATCGGACTGCCTCTTCTGAGATCAGCTCGAATCGGATCCGCACAGGTCTACGATGCGCACTTGGCACATTCCTCCTCTCGCTTCGCCCTTGGCTGGATGCCGTTGAATTGCCTTATGGAGTTGGCCGTGGGCTGGGTGCTTTGTCCAATTTGCCCCTCGCGTCGGCCCGTCCGCTAATTACGCAGCTTGCCATGTAACCGGTATAAAATTTCGAAATTGCTCAACGCCTGATCTTGGCAAAAAGAGAGCTTTATGCCATCCTTGTCCTGCGGCTCAGTCTCGCAATCAGAGCTCGATTGGCAGACCGGTAGACATCACCACCAAGGGACCAAGGGGCTAAAGGCATCCAAGGGATCTCACGAAACTCAGCTTTGGACCCATCTTTTAGGCACCTTTGCAAGGATCGACCGGCCCCGTAAGGGCGTGCGTCGTACCAGACCGACCGATTCCATGGACCGAGACCCGGCCATGGACTAGGAAGAATCGACTATTCCACGTAGTTTAGAGACATTGTCCTTTACCGGAAAGACATGCATGTACGCAAGCCGCCATGTCAATCAATCGTCCATTGAGCGGTGAAGTCTGCCGTCTTCCATGGGCCAAGCACATTGCAGTTCAGCAGCCCTCACGAAGCGGGTGATTGGAGCCAGTTGACAATATGCAATAGGTAATTGCCGGTGGCACACGAAGTACGAAGCTGCGGAGCCAGCAAGAAGAAGAAGAAGAGTTTCACGGACATGACTGTTGCCCTGATGATTAAGACGCACGTAAGCAGGTGGGATTCGGGAAGGGCTTCATCATCACATGTCCAGCTTCTAATTCCAGGCGGCCGCGAGTTGCCTACACTATCCAAAGCGTTACGTATGCCACAATGTTACGAGGTGGTGATCATGGCGCGGTGTTGCGAACACACGTCAGTTGCAGGGACAAATGGGCGTTCTTGAGAGGGATCCAGGGGAAACGGATCCGTAACCTTTTTCTTCTCTTGTCCCTTTTCTTTCATCTCTTCCCTATACACTAGTTGTCACGGCGCTGGTGCTGACCACCCTCCTCCTCATCCTCTACTGGCCAAGATCCCGGTAGCAATTCCTCTCTCTGTTCATCCCCCTCCCCCGCCCCCTCAGGCACGTCATCCGCGTCTGCCGTCCCAGGCTGCCCACGAATAACCTGTAACAGTGCGTCCAGCCAGCCAGGCTGCCCAACTCGCCGAGCGTGCTCCTCCAGGTCCGCGCGCAGCTCCGGGTCGTCCATGTCAATGGCGTCCAGCTCTGCGTTCTCGTCGTCGTCCTCGTCGATGCCGAAAGCCCCTGGGAATGCACCCGCCCCAGGACCTCCCGCTCCAGCGCCGCCGGCAGCCTGTTGCCGGGCCATGAGGTTCCGCAGCTGCATCTCAATCTGGTGCTCCATAGCACGGCTCCCCTGGGGGTTGTCCTTCCATGGCAGCCGGCACCCCTCGCCGCTGAAGATATTCTCCGATTCCAGGGGTGGTAAAGGGTCAAATTCGTAGTTTGGTTGGCGATCAAGTATCTCTCTTGGGGCCAGGGCGATGATCGAGGTTTGTCCCTCGAGGTAGGCCAGTCGCGTCGCCCCGAGGTCTGGGGGCGCATCGTCGGCCGGCAGCTCAGATGTTTGCACCTTGTCCAGGCTCTTGGCCACCTCTTTCAGCAGGGAGATTGCCCCCGTGTTATTCCACAGGTCCTTAGTCTGATGGATATACAACTTGACCCAGAAATTCCGTGATGATGTCTCTATGCTTATGCCCCAGATCGAAGGCGGTGCGTCCAGGCCAAGTTCCTGGAATAGTGCGCAGTATAGCCAAGGAACCCTCTTCATCCCACCAGTTAATTCGGCTCTGGCGCCATCCAAGTCCTGCAGCTGTAGTTTCGCCAGCACCGTACTTTGTCGAAGGTAGGCTGTATCCCGGTTGTCGCTGATATTCTCCAACTCGTCTATGAAGTCGATGAGCCACTCCGCCTCGTGTGCCCTGACGGCAATGTAATGGATAAAGTGCCTCATGGCGTATGGGTCGCTCGTATCCAGAGCAAACATCAACTTGGACCATTCAAGAGCTGTGCGGTACGTGCCCTTTCTCAGCAGACTCTTCAGATAGTGGTAGCCCGCGAGCCAGAATTGGCGGTTCTCCGGCCTCCGGAAGTCGAGACGGGCCTTTCCGTTCTCCAAGTCCTGGCGGAATGCCGAGGTGGCTACTCTGCCAAACGTAAACAGGGCACGTTCACAAAGCTCTGCGGCCAATGCCATGTTTTGGTCTTGCTTTGCCACGCTGCTCACTTGGAGCAGAGTAGAAACATGGTAGGCTGGAGAATTAGTTAGTTTAGTACCAACAGTGTCAACTCAGGAGTTTCTAAGGGGGCGCTACTTACGGCACTGCTGCAGTAGGTAAACAATTCTCATCGGATCACCGATCTGCACGTAGGCAAAGAAGACGGCCTGGATAGCATCGTAGTCTTTATCGTGAACGTATGCATACTCCGTGTAGGAGCCATCCACCGCCTTGTGTAGCTGCTTCATGCCCAGCCCTCCCGCGGATCGCAGCGGCCAGTGTTCCCGGCCTTGGATGAAGACGTTCCGCCGCAGCGACACCTCGGGCAGCCGCTTCGCACCGGGAGGTCCCCGCAGGAAGGTCTCCAGGTCGACCTGCTGCTGAGCAGGGCCGCGTCTGCGGCGGTTGTTGTTCTCCCTCTCCTCCTCGGCGTTGGCGGACTCAATGATGTCGCGGCCGAACAGCTGCCGCATCTCGTTGATGGCCTTGAGGTGGTTCGTGTTGATACCGAGCAGCGTGTTGATGCGCCGCTGTGTCGCCAGCACCGCAGCCGCATCAGCCGCCGAGGAGCTGTCACCGCCGGCCGAGCTGAGCTTGAGCTCCTCGAGGACCTTGTCGATGTCCTCCTCCGAGGCCTCGTCCTTCTCCTGGGCCTTGGCCTTGTTCTTGCCGCCCTTCTTCTTCTTCTTCTTTTTCTTACTCTTCTTCCCGGGCTCGGGAGGGTTGTGTGACTGGTCTTCTTCCTCTTCCTCTTTAGGGACCTGAGACTGGCGCTCGCCGTCATCCTGCTTCTCATCCTCTAGGTCGTCATCGTCCCCGTCGTCCTCATCGTCCCCGGCCCCCAGCGCCGCGAACAAGCTCACCCTGGGCTTCGCAGCCACAGGCGATGGCGCTGTGTCCTCATCGCTCTCCTCGAGCTCATTCTCGGCCGGTCCCTTGGCCTGCTCGAGCTCCCGCTGTTTTTGGAGCTTCCGGAGTTGTCTACTTGACATGGTGCTCGGTGCTCTTTACCCTAGAGGGATGGAGGGGTACAGCTGTGGTTCTGTGCAAATATGCAGATCTGTCTTGGATCCGTCCACCTAGAGGCTGTGGTGATTCTAGAGAGAGATATTGTTGAACTCTTTGTAATCCAACCAGGGATACTACAAAGTCATTGCACAGCCTACGCTAGATTTGTTAGGTTGTAGGTTCTCCCCCAGCCAGTTGGTGTTCTCAAAGAAGCTCTCGGCGAATGACGCACAGTGGGGCGGGAGAAAACTCTCTTGCAGATGGAGCCTCCACTAAATTGTTGCTCTCTGCTGAATTACTAACAAATACTACTATCGTCACACCCCTCAGCTCAAACAAAGGTACAGCAAACCTTGACCACGTTAATCTTGAGCTTCTACTTGGATGGCTTCGAGTCACACGTTTAGGAAGGATCAAGACACTGAGAATGCCTCATAATGGAATACATTTTGATGAGGCTCATCAAGCCTTGGCTACTATGTAATATGTACAGTATCTGATAGCTCGAAGACTGTGGCATGAGTAGCCGCAGCCCGTGTCTCCCACCGAGCAGCTTGATAATTTTCTTTGTTTTGTTGTTTGTCCCCGGCTTGTTTGTTTTTTCCTTATTTCGAAGGGATGTTGATGGGCTTTCCAACTAAAAGCATGCTGCCGTCATTGGTAATAGCGAAAATGAGACTTCGTGAGAGTTGCATGCCGCCCAGTAACTCGGCATTAATAATGTGACCATCGCCCTTCCGTGACTGTCCTCGCTCAATGCGCTCCCCTACTCCAAATGGAAATGAAAACTCCAAAAGCTCCAAACTAGGAAGCAGAAACCGTGAAAAAATTCGTTCATCATCTTCCCCAAATCCTTTCCAAGGCCTTCCGAGGTATAACGCCAACCCGACGGCCGTAAGGATACCGTGATCAAGGTTGAAACTTTTCCATATGCCGAGACCCCAAACTTTTGACTAGGTGTACACCTCAGTGCAAGAGAGAATATAGTGACCTGTCCCCATCCTTCCCATAGACGTCTCCTCCCAAAACTAATGCGAGCTCGTTAGACTTAAGCGTGGACATATTGAGCAAAACCCCTGCGATGAGTTGCAAAAGCATGCTCTTGCGGGATTGCTCCGAATCGGACGGATCGGAGCAGGGATACGGTAGCGGACTATAGCTCTGCCTCGCCTGACTGGTAGGGCAATCGTTGGCCGCCTCGACCTCCACGACTCATGCCACGACCTCTTCCTCCACGGCCGCGACCGCGGCCACGACCACGGAAGTTTCGGTGTCCGCCATCAACGCTACCTTGGCCAAAGGTTTCCATGTTGCGGCGCTGCTCTTCATCGCGCCACTCACGGCCACCTGCCCTCTGCCCGTTGTTCTCGGCTCGCTCCCTGGCCTCGCTTGAAATGTTGTCGAAGAATGATCTTGACTTGTTGTAGGCGATGGGGTTTTCCGAGGGGGCGGGCGACTCGGTAGCGCTAGGAGTGTGTGCATTTCCTGTTTCAGTGACAGGAGAGCCCGCGATCGCCTCCTTGAGGAGATCCTCCTTGTTGAATTTGGCATTGGACTGAGCGAAGTCGAAGTCCGAGTCAGGTACCTCAACCTTCCCTGCGGGACGGCCTCCACGGCCACGACCACGGGGAGCGGTAGGGGGTCTGGTTGCATTGACTCTCATTTCGTTCACTTTATTGGTTAAGTTATCCATGGCATTGCCTCCGCCATTGCCGAGCTGGGCCATGGCAGCAGCAACCGCAGCCCTGGCAGCGCTCGTGGCATCCTGGACGCTGTTTGGCGCTGTAGAAGTGACAGTTGCCTGAACACTGGTCTGAGAGATCTTTTCCTGGGCAATGGGGGGCTGGAAAGGCTTTGATAACGATCCTGACAGAGGAATGACCGGGTTGACCCGGTTAGCCCGAGGCCCAGTAGGGATACTCTTTGCGGGCTCAGAGGGAGTCTGTGTCTCAGCGGGCTTGGCCTTCACTTCATCTGTGGCGGACTTTGATTCCAAGGCAGGAGTCGGTGCCTCAACTGGCTGATGTGATGGTTGCGCCAGTGACTTGGGCTCTGTAGGTAGGGGGGCTTCAGCGTTGGGACGATCAGCTCCAGGGCCAATTGGCGCATGCTTCTTGTTGTCTTGCTGCCCCGGGGCCTGTGGTGGTTGTTGGTGTTGCGGACCGTCAGGACCAGGAGGCCCGCCAGGGCCGGGAGGGAAAGGTTGTGCCCCCCAAGGAGCTGGCCCACCAGGACCTGGAGGGAAGCCTTGGCCAGGAGGAAACCATCCAGGAGGGTATGGCATGTTTCCTCCAAAGGCAGGACCGCCGGGACCGCCAGGACCACCGGGACCGGGTGCACCACGACCCCATGCCCCAGGGGGTCCGTAGAAGTTGTTCGGGGGGTAAGGATGCTGGCCATAGGGCCCAGGACCGCCAGGCCCAGGTGGCGGAGGGGCATTCTGGTTGGGACCTGGACCTTGAGGCCCGGGTCGGGCTCGTGCAGACTAAATTTTCCAATTAGCATACTCTTTGTGCCAAAGAGAAGAAATGATAAAAAAGAAAATTGAGTGATCTCCAGATCAGAAGGAAGGCAACGGAAATATCGACATTGTTTTTGCGCTTTCCGACATGACAAAATTTTTACATCCGCAATAGTTCATCATTTGGAGAGTATCAAGCAATATGCAAAGGGAGTGGAATCTGGTTATACGTACTCCGACGATTGCGGGATCATCAGGCATGGCAGGAGGCTGATTCTCCTTGATGCCTGGGTGGTCCTCGATCCGCAGGTCCTTCACATCGCTTCCACGGAAGACAATATATTCGTAGACCTGATCAGAGGGACCGACCTCTTCTTCTGGTCGACCTCTGCGGCCTTCCGTGCCGAAGGATCGAACATTCTCGAGAGATACTGTTGACTCGTCGGAATTGATCTCGTGGAGCACACCCACATAGCTAATGAGGCGTCAGCAGAAGCTGAGTCGGGGCGCGTACTCTCGTTCACGCATACCGGATGTCGCTCTTGGAAATCAGAGAGATACGAGAGCTGAAGACTTGTGTTAGCAATGGATTACCAGCTTCGATAGATCCCAACCCGTCGGTGTCGGCAGGTGCTGTTCGTACCCTAAGAATTCGGACATCTCGAGATGAGGCTACGTTGCGCACGTAGGAAGCTGCTATGGCGCTTGGGGGAGACGGTACAAGCAAAGAAGAGAAAGCAATGAAAATTCGGCGGCCTAAAATAGGCAAGAGATGGAACCGGTGCCTACCGGGGGGGAGGGCGGAGAAAGGGGTGGTTGGTTAGAGGGAGGACGAGCTAGGGAGGAAAGAATTCGCTTTTGTGAAGGTAATTCGAGATTTGTGAGAAGTGGCTGGTTGGTGGATGATCCAGGACCTCTCCACCGGTCTACGCGGCACTACCACGGAAGAAGACCGGCTATTCCGGGGCGGGAGATGCTCCATCTGCTTTATGATATTGCCTTTGCTATAAGACAGCGTTTCATATAATAAATTTCGTTTACTCCTGGCCAGTCACGTAGTTGTATTGTCTTTCGTTTCATCTCCTTGTAGATTATGTTCGTAGACGCACTGTATGTATTATGTTGCTTGCTTTCGCTAGCCACTAGCAACGAAGCGTTCTTCGCTCTGAAAGACCATCTGAAGGAATAGATGTTGCGATCTGCTGCTTTACACTTCTAATGACAAAAAAACATGAATGAATAACCCGTGAAACCTGCGAACAGGCTGGGTGGATCGTTGTAACCCTTGCGAAATCGATATTGCAAACCAGAACTCCGTACATAAGACATCATTTACCTGAACTTGCTCCAAATTACAGCGATAATGAGAAGGACAAGAACCGTGATGATGGCAATTGTAATCACCCGATTTGTAGCCATCCTGTAGCACTTGTTAGATAGGGGTTTACTTTGCGGCTTTCTGAGAAATTCAACAGTACCTACGTGCCATGCCCCGGAGGGTCTTGACACTACGATCGACATAACCTTCGCTCTGAGTCAAGGTGTCGTGAGTATTGGTGATGATATCTCGCTGAGCGGAAAGAGTGGCCAGTGTTCCGGCTCCGATGGCTTCAGTCTCATTTGCGAGGGCCTGGCTGTGCTTCAAACGCTGTGTACTCCGGTCAAGACGCTCTGTGCCTGAGAGAAGCTGTTGGCGCTGTTCTAAGTGGACATCGGAAGATCCAGAAGGGTCATCGGTATAACGAGATCCGAAGAGAGCAGATCGATCGGATGAAAGAGAGGTTAACTTTCGGCGAGCCTCATCAGTGTCGGATTCGAAGTTGCGAAATCGCTGGTTGACCTTGGTTCGTGCTGATGTGGGGATATTCTGCTTTTCTAGACGCATTTGCCCAAGCTACATAATGTGTTGTTAGCTGGAGAGTCCAATCATAACCATCGCAATTGAGCGGGAACCGTGTGGCTCACAAGTTCATCGGCTTCCTCCAGCGCTCGCTCGGCCTGGCTGATTGCGGCCTTGCGGGGTTCACCGGAAAGTTCTGGGATCTGGTCCAGCTTTTGCGATAGGTCAGCCTGGACCAGCTTGAATTCCGCCTCATACGAGCTGAAGAGCTCAGATCCAGCATCGGTGTCGAGAGGATTGGCCATCTTGAGTTCTATGTCCGGTTATGACGACAGACAGCAGTCGCAAGTGAATGTCGCTTGGAAGAGACGAGGCTTCGAGTCTTGGGATTGGCGCTCTGACTTGACCGATGCGTTGAGCGTGACGTCCAGGATAGAATGCGATCGTGGTGCTTCGAGGTTGTCGTCAGTCGTGTAGATGGCGTTGGGATGTACCAGGAGAATGCAGGCAGCTGTGATGAAGCCGGAGTATCATGCGCCTCCCATTTAGCAGTGGAGCGAACTACGTACCTAATATCAGGCAGCTGGCATTTGATTGGAGGGTGAGCCGGAGTGCGTCAAAGGCGGGTACGTCTGCATTCCCAGCCATCACTGGCTCCGCTCGGGCTGAGCTGAGTCAGCCATGCACGTGATACTGCGGTGCCAGCGTTGTAGCAAAATTCGTCGTGAGCCTGGCCATGATTTTGAAATTTTCTTCTTCTTCTTCAAGTTGATTCCCCCGGAAGAAGAAATTTAACGGCTCGACGTCGCGACCTCTGGTCCATGGCGCAGGGTTGAATTGACCGGGTAGAGGAAAGCAGGTTTCCTGCACGGCGCTTCTAAGAATTGGTGATTCGTATCCCACGTCAATCGATCCCGTTGAGTGTCCGACATGCCCTCCGGCTAGAGAAAACCTGTGTTCAGGTTCCGGAGGCAGCATGCTCTTGTTTAGTTCTATTCATCGTAGTGCACCTGTTGTACAGGCAGAAGCAAGCAAACCTTGTTTAACGTAGTGAGCTACGCTGGTGACGCGGCCAGAGGGCGTGATGCTGAGACTCGAGAGGTGCCTCGACTGTCGAAGCTTGTGAAAGCATAGGCGATCTGATGTCTGTATGCGGACCGTCGCCCAAATCCGAAGGCTGTTGCACCGCGACCAGACCAAGAGCGACCTTGCTGGTTCGGGCTCGAGGTGGGTCGATGTAGACAACCTACGCTGGCCCGAACCGTCATCTTGCATGGGATAGTCCGCATAATAAACGATGTGAATGCACCTAAACGCTCCCCCCTAGCATTGATGAAAGACACCTCTAGACCTCTGTTGCTGCCACCAATTACTGTCAGGCCGCTATGGGGATATCGAGGTAGTTGTCCCAGCATCTACGTACTCCCTAGCTTGAGCCTCGGCAGTGTATCCAGGCAGTATCCTGGACGCTGAGTTGGCCTGCATCGACTCTGAGAGGGGCGGTGGATTGCGTCAACCATTCAAACACAATATACATATAATGCATGACATCCCAAAAGTGTGAGTTCCCCCTTCTCTCATATCTCTTTATGGAGGGTGGAGATACCTACCCATTTCCTCCATCCATTTCGCCTTCCAATTGGAGTTGCCGGGAAGCGAGACACAAGTACGAGCTACCAACGCCCGGTAACGTCACCTGTCGCCCTGCATTTTCCCAGCTGCCCGGGAACGTCGCCGCGGGTCCCAATTCGTGATTGATTGAGTTTGAGCCCGACGACGTGGGCGAGCGTCCGTATAAGCTTTGGGCCTTCTTATGATGCTGGAATTTTCACATGCCATTCCGGGCATTCCAGTAATAAGGCAGAGCTCTCCCTACTCTCCACCCAGCTATTAGCTTGCTTTCCTGCATCAATACCATGATCATTATCTCCATCCCTACCGACTGGAGCATTGTTGCCATCTCTCAAACATATTTATTCATCACTGGAATTTTGTCATGAGCCCTCCCATTAACTGTGCTACTAGGAAGAGGGTAGCCATCATTGGCAGTGGTTGCTCCGGTATTGCGGCTCTTTGGGCCCTGAACAGGACCTACCATGATGTCTATCTCTACGAAGCTGCAGACCGCTTGGGTGGGCACACAAACACTGCGCAATGGAAGGCAGGCCGATATACGGCGGCCGTTGATACAGGCTTCATTGTATTGAACACTGCCACCTACCGTAAGTGATGAACCCAACATTTGAATATCTTTGCTCGCCCGCTCAACGTACATGTGCAGCCAATTTTCTTGGGTTTCTGGAAAAGCTGGGAGTCGAAACCGAGCCTGCCAAGATGAAATTTTCTGTCTCCCGGGATAGAGGCGTATTGGAATGGGTTTGCGGGACTACTCTTGGATCGGTCTTCTGCCAAAGGAGGAACATACTCTCTCCGAGGATGTGGCGAATGTTATTTGATATCATCCGTTTCAACCAGTTTGCCTTGGATTTGCTTCTAGAAGACGATTCACGCTTTGTGAGGCAAAGAAATGGTTCCGCCAAGTATGCTGGCTCGACCGAGAACATTGGCGACTACCTCGACCGCGAGGGTTATTCCGAGGCCTTCAGAGACGACTATCTACTTCCACTTATCGGAGCCCTCTGGAGCACCAACCCGGCAAAATCTCCTCTAGACTTCCCTGCAAAATCGCTGGTGCGCTTCCTGTAAGTCGCTTCCTCTTGAGATGTCCAGGATGACAATCCCAAGACCCACTGAATAGACATTGACAGCATACAGATGGAACCATGACCTCTTGACAAGCATTGCAGAACGGCCTCAGTGGCGCATCCTCAAAGAAGGATCGCAGTCATACGTCGATGCCGTCATGCGGGGCTTTCCCCCAAATCATCTTTTCCTCAAAACGGCTGTGAGACACCTTGCCAATGATGATGATGGTCGAGTGCGGTTGCACCTGGAAAATGGCAAAACAGAAGTATTCGACCATGTCATCCTCGCTACTCATGGTGACCAATCGCTTTCTATAATCAACCCCTCTGCAACTGAGCAGGAGCGTTCTATTCTTTCGTGTTTCCAGACTCAACAGGTCGAAGCTGTCTTGCACTCGGACCCGACTCTGATGCCCCGAAGACAGAAGGCTTGGTCCAGCCTAAATTACCTTACGCTTTCCTCACCAAACCCCAGGAGTAAACTGGGGATAAGCAAATTATCCCTGACATACGACATGAATCTTTTGCACCACATCCCCAAGACCACCTTTGGTGATGTGTTTTTGACCCTAAACCCCCCTCACCAACCGCGCCGGGACTTGACACGGGGCCGTTACTACTACAGTAGTCCGCAATACACTGCAGCTTCTATACGCGCACAGAGCCTACTGCGGACAATTCAAAATAAGCGCAACATCACTTATGCTGGCGCATGGACTGGGTATGGCACACACGAGGATGGATTCAGCAGCGGGCTATGGGTCGCACAGGAATATCTTGGCGCCAAACTTCCCCTCGAGTTCAAGAACCCTACAGATATCAAAGAGAGAAGGCCGAAGTTGGGACTTTTTGATCATCTGCTGAGGTTCTTCATCCTACTCATTCAGGTATTTGTCGTTCAGATTCTGGAGAGGCTTGTTGGATCCAGAAGACCCATTCTAAAGCCAGCGAACGGCTTTGCAAACTCAGGAAAGCTGAATGGGAAAGTCGCGTAACCTCCATGTATATTTCTGTTTCATAGTGTTAGTCATTTGTAGCGTTTATCTTGCATCTTTATACTGAACTACTCGTTGATTACAGAGCCTGTTTTATATGGTTTTCTTTCTGGTATAGCTCTAGTCTGGAATCTGAGAGCTTGATAGTCTATGATCTATGCGACTGGTCTCAGTAAATGTCTATATAAGAACAGCAAGCTTTGTAAACTCACTTTATTTAAAGTAAAATTTGTACTAAGGCGGCTCAATTGAGAGACAAGAAAAGTGGTGTCGTTCCCGGCAGCCCGCGGCAGGTGGGACAAATCCGGGGCCCAGCTGCCAAAACTCCACCAGCCCATGTCAAGCTGCTGGATTATTCGACATCACCCGATCTGCAGCACTCGCTCCCAACGACCGGCCAGCGAAAACTAATTGCCCGTGTCCAAATCGACCTCGATGAACGCCGCGCCCCGGATGTGGCAGGCTGCTGCCGCCACCGGCCGCTCGGCCCAGCGACAGTCGCCTCGAATCTGCCGCAATGCGCAATGCCGGTCACCGCTGTCCCAGCGACGGGACGTCCCCAGCTTCCGCAGAAACGCCTCGAGCACGACGCCGAATGGAGGACCGCAGCAGAGCCAATCGCCATCCGCTTCCATGGAACAGGCTCGACAGTATTATAGCAACAGGAACACGACTATTGGGTATGACGCAGTCTCGAACCTATGGCAGTTATAAATCTGGTGGCTTACCTGAATAGGTACTATGCTATAAGCATTATGCTCGGGACATTGGCCTGTGCATACGGCTCCGTGCCGTTCTACAAGATGGTGAGAATGACCAGTTGGCTGGATGGCCAGCCCCCGAGGACGAGAACCGAGGCTGACAAATGATCCCAACTTCTTCAGATCTGCCAAACGACCGGCTGGGGAGGACAACCGGTGCGTGCCCACGGCACAAGCGGCGAAAAGTACGAAGATATATCTACGCGCGTCGTCCCCGTGACGTCGGCGAACCGCATCAAAGTCACCTTCAACGCCTCCGTCTCCGACGTGCTGCCATGGAAGTTCGTACCGCAGCAGCGCGAGGTCAGTGTCTTGCCCGGCGAGACCGCCTTGGCCTTCTATACAGCCACGAACAAGGGCGACAAGGACATTATTGGCGTCGCGACGTACAGCGTCACTCCCGGGCAGTGCGCCCCGTACTTCAGCAAGATCCAGTGCTTCTGCTTCGAGGAGCAGAGGCTGAACGCCGGCGAGACGGTAGACATGCCCGTCTTTTTCTACCTGGATCCCGATCTGTTGAACGACCTGAACATGAGGGGTGTCGAGACCGTAACTCTCAATTACACTTTCTTCAGTAAGTTGATGAGCAGTACCTCGTCTGTTCCCGAGCACTCCCGGATGCTAACTATATCGCAGAAGCGAGATATGACAACAATGGAAGATTCCAGCCACCTACCAGCTAGATATGCCGGAAGGCAAAATCCTCGTAAACTGTACAACACTCAAAATAATCCACTACCTCTTGTATTACATATAGATTCAGGCGCTTGGAATCGCCAACTAGGGACATGAGGCTTCTCAAATGTATAAACGAAATCTTCTCAATCAAGAACCAGCGAAAGCTGATAGGTCTCTCGCAACAATATAAATCGCACGAGATACCTGTGTATATTCAACCCTCGGAGCCAATTGATCAAAGCTTTAACTGACATGGCCGTGGTATCAAGTTCATCAGTCTTGACTTGCCCCACCAAGTCAAAAAAGTGAAGACCGAAACCTACAGAGGATATCCTCAGGACTGAACGAATAAGCAAGACCCCCGAGGTAGGCCATGATTTACGAAATCATAATAACTACCTAGACAATGATCTAGTTTTTAAATTTCCTAGCCCTTTTGCCATACTGCAGCTAAAGATACCTCCTGATGCTCCTCGAGCTCTCACAACTTAGCCCCACCTGCTCCTACCATCAACCCAGGATGACTCAGCAGTGGCTCCCAACTTAGGGAGTACGTACCTAGGGTAACTCATCACGTGCAACGAATTCCCCAATTTTCGCCCACAACTCACAGCTGCACGAGAAATTACTACTTTCCCGACTTCTTTTTCTGCATCCCCTCGCATCTCCCGTCCCATCATCAACAACCCGTCCAACCCCCTACTAACCGTCACAATGGCCAAGGTCTCCTCTTGTAAGTGCCTCGAACGATTCACCAGAGCTGCAACTTCATCACCGAATGGCTCAATGCTCAATTGCTCGGAATGAACCTCCCAAACTAACCGACCTGCTTCAGCCGTCTCTACCTCCCGTCGCAAGAGCCGCGCTGCTCACTTCAAGGCCCCCTCCAGCCAGCGCCGTGTCATCCTCAGCGCTCCCCTCTCCAAGGAGCTCCGTGAGAAGTACAACGTACGTTCCTGAACCAAGCAGCATCGCCTCGAAAAAAAACTTCTTTGGCTCACAAATTTCCCAACAGGTCCGCAGCATCCCCATCCGCAAGGACGACGAGGTCACCATCGTCCGCGGCAGCAACAAGGGCCGCGAGGGCAAGGTCACCTCCGTCTACCGCCTCAAGTACGTTATTCACGTCGAGCGCATCACCCGCGACAAGGCCTCCGGACAGTCCGTCCCCCTCGGCATCCACCCCTCCAACGTCGTCATCAACAAGCTCAAGCTCGACAAGGACCGCGAGGACATCCTGGCCCGCTCCAAGGTCGGCCGTGAGCTCAAGGCCAAGGGCAAGGTCACTGCTTAAACCTTGACTCTTAAAAAAATCTAATCGAAAACCTCCTCGATTCGGACGGAACGACTTAACAAATCATGGGTTACAAAAAGTTGATGATGGACATGGGCATGCACACTCCGGCGTTTAGTACTGTGATACCCACGTGTTTCCTTCGTGGGCCGGGCCAACACAAAGGCAGGGTAGATATGAATTGAGAATTTCACCGTTCTCAATGGCCATTTCACCAACTTGTGAAATGTTCCATGGGAGGCGTTTCCCGAAGTCAGCTTGCTCTCGTTCTCCGAGATGTGAATTCGTTCTGGTGACTGACAATGTCCTGAATTGTTTTTCATTTGACAAAGTTGGAGCAATCGTTCCAGCAGCAATGTCATGAAAACAAATCCAAGGTTAGTTCGTAGAGTGCCCAGCATGTAACTCCCACATCCGCTAGTATATCACCTCGTCTGTCACTTCACTCCATGGCTTGCGAGGTAAATAATTAGCGAAGAAGAACCCAAGCGAGAGATACCTAATAGTTATCAATCTCTCGCTCTCGCCCGAAGATTTTCATCTGTAGGACTACCAATGACGGTGGAAATTTGATGGTGAGGCACACTTCCCTTGCCAGTATGCCCCATCATGTAAGATTTATCTTGTACTCCCGCTGTGCTCGGCCTGGGGCCAAGATGGATGTGGCATACTCGGTAATAGTTGATGCTAAATAACTGGCGATTGCTATTGATGGCTATGAACCTCTATAGTCTTGCGAATACATCTGATGCCTCCTCATTAAGACTTCGCGCCTCCCTCAAATATCAATTCTGTTTCCAGTTTGTTACAACTTGGTTTTCCGATCCAGGTAATCAGTGTGCTACCCATATTCCTCTCAAGCTTGGTAGTAGCTATAATTAGGAGAGACACCTCTCAATACCAATGCATAAACAAATATTAATGAACTTGTGCAAGTTCTGTTGAGATAGGAAATAATGAAACAATGATCTGCCAAATGTATGCCTCTGGTTGATATCAGCCTTGAAATAAGGTTGTGGGGAGGTGAGTCTGAGATTCATCCCCCTCCAGGTTGTGCATAGAAAAAGTACTAGCTGACAATTTTCGAAAAGAAGAGAGTGGTCTATCGTTTGCCGCCCGCGTTGTTGAAACCAGGAGGGCGATTCTCCGATTGATGCCCCTGAAGCACCTCGTTCGTCTTGACAGGATAAGCGTCATTAGACTTGGCCAAATTGGTCCGTGAAGAGGCTTTGTTGTTGGAAATAGTTGGTGTGAGGGAGGCGGTGGCATGGCCACTGTACTGTGGCAAGACCCCTTGCGCAGTCGTAGTCGAGACTGCACCGGGGACAGCGCCGGCACTCGAGTTTCCTTTATTGAGCATGCTGGACCAGATGCGGTTATGCGTTCTATTGTCCATTGTTAGCACGATTGCCGATCGAGATTGTAAAGATGTTGAGGCATACTTGGCCTGCTGCATTGCCTTTCGACCCTTGAAAAGTAACTCTCTGTCCTCGTCATATTCATCGCTGGATGAACTTTCCTTGGGATCAACGACCGGCAACTTAGCCAACCTAAAAGGATTTTTTGCTGCAAGCTCATCAAGACTGTTCCCTCCTCGCTTCAAGGGTCCTCCATAATCGTGATGCGCACCAGCTACTGCGGCTCGTAAAAGATTGTGTTCAGGTCCAGGTAGCGTTTCTGACTGGGTGGAATTGCCAGGACCGTCACGAGAGAACAAATGTCCCGATTGACCCAGTAATTTGAAAGGGTCTGAGGCCAAAGTTTGCTCTTGAAGGGTGCTCATGGCCTTCTTGCCTGCCTGAGTTGGCACTTTGCGAGTAATTGTGCTGTCTGCGCTGTGATCCTTCACCGGCGAAGGGGGAAAAAAGTCCTTGCCATTGAATTTGGGGAGACCCTTTTGAAGGTCATGAGGAGCTTTGCCCCAGTACATATGTCGAGCACGAAGCTCATCTTCTGTCAGCTCACGTTCATAGGTGAAATCGGTGACCTGTGCCCGATCCATTCCAATGCCATTAGGCAGATGACCAACGAGATATGGCACCCTGTCTTCCTGTGGTACGTAAGGAGTTGACAAGGCCTCCCAACTAACCTTTTCTCCTGACAGAGAGGCCACGGGGTTGTTCACAGCCTCAACTCCGCTCCCGGGCTTTACGAAACCGCCAGCAGAATTGGCAAATGTATTATCATAGGTTTGGAGCATAGTCTCGGACCGAGGCTGAAACGGGGGGGCTAGTGCAGCATCGAGCGGTAACCTGGACTTCTCAGTTCCTGAACGAGAGCTTCTGAGAGATCCGGTCAATGGCTGAGATCCGGCAAAAGCAGACACCGACTTTGTGGAATTGATGCCTGAGCCGAAACGAGTTTCCGATTTTTGGCGCTTTAGATTTCCGCCAAGGGCTTGACGGTACAGCGAAGAATCTGACGCGGTTTGCGATCCGTGGTGAAGCTTCGCCTCGCCGCTCAAGGCATTTTGGCAGAATTCGCTATAGTCGGATCCTGGGCGACAATTATTTGCGGTTGCCAAATTTTGGTGATTCAAATTCTCTGAAGGCTTTGGGGTTGTTGCGTCATAAGAACGTTGGGCTTCCATCTCCTTTGACTTGGGATAAAATGACTCCTCGAGATTGTATTGCATTTCGAAGTTTGTCTCAAACTGCTGGATGAATTGCCGAGCTAACTGAGCGTCATTCTCAACGGCACGTTCATCGATTTGATGCTTATTAAATTGCAGCTGGTCCTCTAGATACCTGAGGCGTGCTCGAAGAATGTCAAGGTGTCTTCTTGTAATTTCGCTCGGACGGATAGACGAAATGGGAAGATTTGAGCTGTTGGGTTGAGAAGCTGTACCTGCTGTCGCCATTCTAGAGAAGGATGGGTGATGAGGACCTTTGTTCTCCATAGACTGGTCAGACTTCTTAGCATTAGCCATGTCTCTATTTCCTCCTCCAGGTGCTGCACTAGGTGCAGGAATTGCCATCCCGTTGAAGCCATGCGATGGTGCGAGTGGGACAGGGTAGAAGGGCGCGGTAGGTGGGATCATCCACTGGTTGTTCAGAAGAAGTGACCGAGTGTGATCATAGAAATCGAGAGGCGAAGCTGCGGATGCTTCCTTCTCAATGGTGCCAGATTCACTCTGCTGTTCACTACTTGTTGCATCTCGATGCTTCTTCAATGCTGGATTGGCACCAACCACTGGGGTTGGGGCAATCGGCATTCCGAAGTTGGCACCCATACTCATTCCCACACCTCCCATACCCATGTTCCACGGGATGAACGTGTACGGAGGTGGTACTGGTCCTACTCCTGGACCTGGAGCGAAACCAGGGTACATCTGAGGCATGACGTGAGGGAACTGAAACGACGAGGGCTCGGTCTGTCCTTGGACAGCAACACGGTGGGATGGCGCATTGTCGCTCATAGGTTTGTCCTTGGCCCATTTTGGGTTTGGAGAGAAGGTGGCTCGATTGTTTGGTACAATTCGGCCCCCAGCCGTGACCCGAACGTGTGTTGGGGAGACAACTGCTCTGTAGAAACGCTGAAAGCCTTCGTCTCTCTGGGCTGCTATACCTGTAGGGGCAGAAATCGGCTGGGGCTGAGCATCCTCAGAGTCAGACCTGCCACGGTATTTCCATTCCGAGTCGGTTCCATCTAGTTGGCGAACAGAAGTAGGTGCCAACGCCAGGGCTCTCTCGACAGGCACTTCTCGAGGTTCTTCGGGAATACGTCCAAGCTTCCTGTGACCTCGGCCTGGAGCACGGATGATGTCGTCTCCAACATCATTAGCGACGCGTTTGAAGTGTGGTGGGGTTTTCACGAAGCTTACTTAGATCTACTTTGCCTTTCAACTTGTTCCGAAGATTCTTTTGCAACTCAACTTCGGCCGGGGCTTGCCTCATCCGAAGCAGGTCGTTCTTTGAATATATCTGAGCCGCCATCGTTTCAGAATCTTGCTGGGGCAAGGCGAAACAAGAAATCTCGTCGGCTTGGTAGCTGTTCCAAAGTACGACCTTGGAGAATCTTTCACCCTTAGTATCAGTATATGCACCATTGCCTACGAGATGGAAAGTAGACGTTCTTGACTTGGTGATTGTGTAGGGGTCATCCTCTCGTGGTGACCAATAGTGTGGTATTGGTTCTGTGTGTGTTTGGTGTGACATGAGAGGATCAAAGGGGTGTTCTGCCACAGATTCAAGTGTGGATTGAAACCGCACTTGCTTCATCTTGGATCCGAGCATTGTGAAGAAAGAGGGTGATGGACCGTGACAAGAGATGGTCTGGTGTCAGAGAGAAACACACTTGAGGCTAGAAACATACTCTTTGAGCAAAAAAAAGTTAACAATCAGTGGCCAAGCGGCATACACGATATGCTGGGGCGAGAAACAGTCGAGCGCGATAGGAAGGAGGGGTGAGCAGCTGAGCTGATTGATCTGTCTCGATCGGTTTGCAGATTGCTGCTATATCTGAGGTGGGAAAAGCGAGGCGGAAAAAAAGACAGTCAAGGATGAGAGGGATGGGATCAGAGGTAGAGAGCGAGATAAAGCCAGATGATGCAATAAGCAAAGATGGAGAAGACAGAACATTTCGCTCCACCGAGCTCTTGAGTAAATGGAAAGTTGTTATCCTACCTGGTCCTCTTCAGCTAGGACGAGGGGTCTTCTTGCTCAGTTTCACGACTGATCTTTCCTTGCAGAAGGTGGCACAAGCGTGTGTAGCGGAAAAAGAAGGAGCCCAGCGAGTCCGGGAAGCTGTTGTTCCTCAAGTTGGTGTGGCGGTAGCTATTGCCACACCCGGGAAAGAGCGTATGAAGCGATAGGCAGTTGCAAGGTCGAAAAGGCGTTGCAGGAGCGACTGAGGGAATGTGATGATAGAAGTTGACACTGGAAAGCCAGGTGGCCCAGTGGGAAGAAAGAATGTTTGTTGAGAATAGCTCTGAAAGAGGTGAGAAATCTCGAGGCGTGGGTTTCGTGTGATAAACCGGAGGGAAAATAAACAAACAAAGGCGCGGTGGGCACAATAGACAATAAGGTGAAGTGAATCTGAACGGCAGGTGCCCACAGGGCGGTCAGTTTCTGAAGGGCAGAGGGCAGAGAGGCAACGGTCATTTCTATGCTAGTAACGGCTGCGTACAGCTGCGCAGAGGAACAAGACGGTTTTGACAACTGGTACCTGGCAGCTCGCACTAATGCTGGCTGAACATGAAGTAGAGCAGGTCGCAGACCTACCTGGACTTACACGGCGGAAGGCAGGCAGGAACTTCGTGGTACCTACCATTTGGTACCAAGTGCCCAATAACTGCCTGGTGTTCTCCTCCACGGACTGAAAGAACGGCGATACCCGCTGGTACTTGGGACGTGCCTGAATTCCTGCCTGGTAGGCGGCAATTCCTTGGTTGCTCAGGTACTGCCCACGTAGATGTGTTCAGAGCCTAGGAGTTAGTTCGAGGAGTGCATTTCCAAAACTGAGGAGGTCATCTCAGTGCACGTAGGTCCGCAATCAGTACAGCAATAGAACGTCTTGGGCATGGTTTCAAGCCCAGGATCTAGGCCATTGCAAATTGCCAGTGCAGTGTCGGACCTCCGTTTGCCGCATCAAGATGCCAATCCTGAGCAAGCCATACGGACAGCTTCTCCCACTCTTCATCATAATACCCAATCATCACATTATAACAAAGATGTCACTGATTGCAAGCCTGTTGCAAGACACATATATCTTCCTACCTGAATTACTTACATCATTCACCACCAATCATAGGAATGCATCCGATGGCCAGGGCCGTCAGGACGGGCAGAGTAGCATGGCGCCAGGGGAGGTTTCCAACTTTGGGAACCATCAGCAACCCGATAGGCTGCCAGCGTTCCACCGAAAGCGCACCGGTTGGCCGGTTCTTCATGCCTTGGCCCTGATCTAGATGGCGAAGTCGTTGAATCGAGGCCTCTGCCCCCACGGCTCTACCCCGCAACTTAGCCTGCCGCCCTATGCCAACCACATGTCCAAGGTCTCCTGCGGGCATCCACACCTGCAAGGCCATATCCACAATTTCATACTCCAGCCATTGAAACCGCGGATGGGCGTGGCTCTCGGTAGTACGGAGCATGACTTCATGTGCTTCTGCTGAGGCGTCCCGAGGGTCCGGCTTCTCGTGGGCCGGTTTACGCTCAAAAAGAGCCACAGTGCCGGCTTCCCAGTAACTTTCGTCTACCATCACCATCACGCCTCAAACTCCCGTCTTTTCTTTCACTTTCTCCCGCACCCAATTCACATTGTTGGCATCTTCACTTACACACAGACGGAACGATGGCTCCTCTTAAGCCCCACTGGCCACAGCCCTCTCACCCTGGAATCCAGGAAGTCGTTATTAACGAGGCTGAATTCACATCCAAGAGTCTCTCAAAGGTGTCACTGCCACCTTTTGCCGTATTCTCGAAGCTCTCGTTCCCTCCTTGCAGCGCGGCACCAGAGCCGACATACGCGACGGTCCAGATGGGCAAAGACAAGCACCTGAACTTGAACAGTGACTTGCTCTACATCAACCACTCTTGCGACCCTTCTCTGGTTAGTCAAAGTCGGAGGGGAGAAAAAGGGGGGGAGGGAGCCGCCCGCGCTTGATGATTGTTCCAGACAACTGATCTCCATTCTAGATCTTCGATACCACAAACTTCAACATCCTCGTTGGCCCCAATGGCCTGAAACCTGGGGATGAACTCACAGTAAGCACCAAGCCCTGCCTACTCCCAATGTCTTGTTCCCCCCACGCTCACACCCATCCAGTTCTTTTACCCATCCACGGAATGGAGCATGGCCCAGCCCTTCGAGTGCCTGTGCGGCACTTCCAAGTGCCGAGGCACCATTGCCGGGGCCAGAGACATGACCCACTCCCAGCTTGAGGGATACTGGCTCAACACACACATCCGCGAGCTGCTGGAAGACCAGCGCCTGGAAAACGGCACTGCGGCTCTCAGCGGCTCGAACGACCCCACAGCACAAGCGCTGAAAGATGCCTTGTCCCACGCTGAGCAGGTGGTCGAGGCTGCCCGGACGGCCCTCCGCACCTACGCCGAGAGTGCCGCCGTGAACGGCTCCCGCTGTGCACCATCCATCAATGGACAATTTGAGAATGGGCTCAGCCGCCGAGGGCTCACATCTCGGGAATTGGCTGGGGAGATGGGCGGCGATACCAGTCGTGCTTAAGTAGAAATGGCGGGGGGGGGGCCGAAAGGTTCCTCAGAGTTCCTGGATGAGGATTTCAACACCATCATTTCCGAACTCACAGCCTAGCTAGTTCTTTTTCTCCTTTTGTTATCCACCTGAAGGAGATTTCAACATCTCTCATCTTCCCAAATCTCAGCTCTCTCTCGAGAAGAAAATCATAAAAATTCGTTTGTTGTATTTGTGCAGTTGATTATCATCCCTGTAATCCATACCGCAGAATATGCTGCATAACAATATCGGGACCAATATACATTCCCATAGATTCTATAATGCCAATCCCCCCCTCCCTCCAACATAGCATGCTTGGAAAGTAAGACGGAAAAATTATTGCTTGTCGCCCTTGTGGTCCTGCCACCGGCTCCACGACGTGCGCCCGCCCTCCGTGCCGGCGCCGCGGCTGTACGCGGCCTCCTCCTTCTCCCAGTCGGTCCGGACCTTGATGCGCCTGGCCTGGAAGGCCCGCGTGAACTTCCAGATCTCCGTGTCGGCCATGCTCCACGCCTCCAGGGAGGCGCGCAGCTTGGTCTCGTCTGTGGACTTGGTCAGCGCGATGAGCTTCTTGGCGTTGTCGAATAGCCTCTGCTCTTTTACGCCGACGTCCTCGACGACCTCGGGGCTGTTTTGGGGTTCGGAGTCTGTGCTTTCCTTTTCTTTGGTATCCTTATTCTGGCTCTCCTTGTCCTTGCTGTCTTTATCTTTGCTATCCTTCTCCTTGCTGTCCTTATCTTTGCTTTCCTTCTTTTCCTCGTCGGCACGCTTCTCAGCTGTCGCCGTAGTGGTCGCAGCAGCAGCGGCGTCCACCGTACTGCTACTACCCGTGCTGCTCTCCGTACTACTGGCGGTATCACTGCTCGAACTGTCCGTGCCGCCGGTCTTGGGATCATCCAGCGCGGACTTGGGAATGTCAAACCCAAACTGCCAGTTCAGCTCGACGGGCATGTCCTCGGCCGGGAACCAGAACGTGTAGGCCAGCGCGCCGTCGCCCGCCACGGCCTGCTTGAACCGCATGATCTGCACGCCCCTCGAGGCCGGCCCGCCCAGCAGATCCCGCATCACCTCGTCCAGCCAGGGGTCCCGCTTCGACTCGCGGCGGATCCAGGGCACGTCCAGCCTCTCCCGGAGGTTCGACAGCGTGGCCAGCGTCCAGGGGTGGGGGACCGTGCCGATCGTGAAGTGGTCGGTGGCGTTGTGGTACTGCGCCGGGGTCGAGATCCTGGCCCCCTTCGAGCCCTGCTGCTGCTGGCCCTCTCCGCACGGGGTGCACTTCGGCGCATTGGGGGGGCAGCTGGAAGGGATCGGGGTCTCTGGGCAGGAGAGCAGATACTCGGCCAGGCGCATGGACCTGCCTATCAGGGGGCCCGTGTGTTCCGGGAAGGGCTTCAGGACCTCGATCCCCTTCGGGAAGGCACTCCTCCAGGTGTGGTGGAGGTGCGAGTTCATCAGCTTGTTCAGGCTCTGCAGCTGCTTGGTCTTGCTCTCGCCCTCCTTGGCGAGGATCTCCGAGTAGCGCTCCTCGATTATCCCGGAGGTGTATGAGGCCAGGGAGTTGGTCGCCTTTTCAATCGCAATCTCCTTGTCCGAAAGCGCTGACACTACGGTCTTCTTGTCTTTCAAGTCGGAACTCCCCACCAGAGCGTGAATCGCTGCGCTGAGCTCCGTTTTGTGACCGGCGACCAGACCACCGTCAAGGTTCTTCCATGTGCTCAATTTGGGGTATTCGCCTCGTCGAAGATACTGGATCAGCGGGTCCTGCCGCGAAGCCATTGGCAGCACCGTGGAGTGCGCAAGCAAGCCGTCGCCCATTGCCTCCCAGGCCAGCCACCTCATGAGATCATCCTTCATGGCAGGATCGAGGCTCAGCCTCTGCACCAGGTCGTAGTTCGGATTGTTCATCGCCTCGGCCGCACTGAGGATGACGGGCCAGAACCCCTGCGCCCACCACGCCCGCCTCCAGGTCAACAGCAGCTCGCTCTCGGCATCCTTCTCGTCCTTTGTCTTCTTCACCGTGGCATCGTAGTAGCAGTAGACGGGCGGCCTCCTCGCGAGCGGAGGCAGGATGGACCGGTCCTCGTCGAGGGTCAGGTAGCTCGAGAAGGGGACGGAGAGCCACTTCCAGTCCGCCCACCACGAGGAACCTTTGTACTCGTCATCCTTCTGGGGCGGCGGTGCGTGCAGCGGCTGGCGGAACGGGTTGAGGCTGCTCTTCTTCAAGTAATCGGTCACGTGGCTGGTGATCTTCTTGTTCTGGTCGTGCGATAGGCCTGGCGAAGGTGGAATTCTGGATGTGAGGGTTGTGATGCCGATGATAGCAAAAAAGGAGACTAGAGCCAGCAGCAGTGTCGGCCGGGCCGTGAATCTACGCCGCGTGCAAAGGCGAGATCTTGGCATGGTGAAGGCCCAATAATTATACCGATTAATTAGAGTACCAATTGCTGTCAGCGGCCGGCTGGAAAGCACCGGACCATGACAGATGCAGGAACGATGACTGATGACAAAGGAGAGCGAGACCGTCTAAGTCGACATAGATAGCGAATTGTCGCGCCCTGAAACATCAATTAGGAGGTGTTACGTAGGCCCTCGTACGGTTTCGGATTCGGGGCCTGTGGATGGAGCGCCCCCGGCGAATGTTACGGAGAACCCTGTTGCCACCAGTAGCCACCAAAATCGAGGTTTATGCCCCTGCATCGGTGCAGTCAAGCATCTTTCCCCTTTCTCAAACAGCATGCTCTAATGATATTCACGACGGGAGGAACCAGAAATTGGACAGAGGTTTTGTCTATTGAGCATCATTTATATATAAATCTACTACTTGCCCGGGTGGAGTAGGTGTCACCTGCGCTGGAGGAGTCCAAACCTCGGTTTCCATAGTCTACGAAGAACTGGGCATTTTTCTAGTTCGGGTTTTCAGATTTGCCTCGAGGACAAATTCAGTTTTCGTTCTACTGGTGTGAGAGTGTGTAGCAAAGAAGGGGAAGATAAGACGAAAGAGGAAATGAACCCCAACAAACAGAAAGAATAAGAAAAGATGTGTAGCAATTTCCCATGACGAGATTCCTTCCTTCCGCCCTCACTGATTTAGTCTATTAGGAGCCAGAGTGCCATGCTAGAACCGTGAGAAGGGTGAAGAAGGTAGAACGCCAGATTTCATTCTTGTATGCATGACCACTGTCTTCTCGATGCATCCGGTCAAGGTTTCCATGTCTTTGATAAAAAGCGAAAAAGAGTATAGTCGAAAGAGATCCTTTAAAACTCCGAGAATGTTCCAAATTCCAAGATCACCAACAGTTATCGGCCGAGCTTCAGGTGGCCGAAGGAGATGGGGATCCATATTGATGCGCTGCGCTTTCCCCGACGCCTCTGTCCGCTAAACAGGACTAGCTGTACTGGAAAAGCACGCTGATAGACTCGCCGTGGTGAACGCGTCGGATAGCTTCAGCAAATACCGGTGAGATGTCGAGGACCTCCAGCTTGGGGCAGGCACGCATGTTCTCCTCCTGTGGGACGGAGTTGGTGACGACAATCTTGTCCAGGGCCGAGGCATTGATGCGAGAAACGGCATCCCCGCTGAAAGCACCATGAGTTACGAGAGCATACACCTTCGTGGCGCCTTCGCGTTTCAGCAGCTTGGCGGCACGAGTGATGGTGTTTCCGGTGTCGATCAAGTCATCCACCAGGATACATATACGGTTGGCAACGTCACCGACGAGCATCATACTGGCGTTGCGGTGCTCATTAAACTTGATGGGGCGTCGTTCCTAGAAAAGAGATATGTGAGTATCGGACCATGTCCAGGAGCGCACAGTATATTACCTTATGAATGAGGGCAAAGTCGATATCGAGGCTGTCACGAATGAGGGTGGCTCGCTTTGCGCCACCGGCGTCGGGGGAGACGACAACGGCATCGCGCCAGCCAGGAATGTTGCGCTGGATATAGTTTTGAATCAGAGGCTTGCCGTAGAGATTGTCGACTGGGATGTCGAAGAACCCTTGGTACTGAGGATCGTGGAGATCCATTGTGATGATGTGATCGGCGCCAGCACACGTGAGCAAGTCGGCGACGAGGGTGCCGGCGAGAGCAACCCACTGCTTGTAGCCAGGCTTGGGCTGGAAGACATTCTTGTTCGTGGGCTTTTCGTAGTCGTGCGTCGTGAAGCTGGGCTGTGAGGTTAGGGCGCGGTCTGGGTTTGCACCTCCACTTACGTTAGAACTCAGGCTGGAAATGGTATCCGATCTCTTTGGGAAATAGTCCCCGTTTCTATCGGTCACGTTCGTCTTAGAAAGTTTCTCGGCGAGCCCATTCACACCGTTGGTGAGGCCGCTACTGCGAGGGCCACCCGGACGAGGAGTAGCAGGAACGCTTTCGAAAGTGTAATCCTTCTTTGATGAGGTGTCGATGGACTTGGACAGGGGAGCACCGGCTTTGTTGTAGGGCCAGTCAGGCTGGCGAGAGTAGGGAAACAAGGGAACAACTGCAGTGACTCGCTTGGCAGAACCGATTTTGCAAGCGGAGATCATGATGCAAAGTTCAATGAGATTGTCATTGACACTTCCAGAGCCGGACTGGAGGATGTACACATCCTTGCCTCGGACTGAGTCCTTGATCTCGCATCGGCTCTCTCCGCCAGAGAACTTGGAAAGGATACGGTCGCAGGGCGGAATACCCAGGATGTTGCAGACATTTTCTGTGAGCTTCGGGTGGGAGTTTCCTCCCAAGAGAACAATATTGCGGACCATTCTGATAGCTGGGTGTGAGGCCGGTACCGCGATGCTACTTAGCGATGGGTGAAGGTGTCGATGTAACGATGTCGAGAGAGGGATAGTGCAGTGAACCCGCGCGAAGGGAAACACAGACCCGGGCAGAAGAGGTGCTCTTCAAGGCTCAGAGAGGACTCAACCTTGGTCTCGTGAGCAACTGCGATTTCTGGCGCTGGTGGCGGCGACTACTGGATTCAATAACGGTTATTTTTTTTTCTTCTCCCTTGACCCACGTAAAAGACGACGGGACGTGCCCCAGAGGATAGGTTTTTCCGGGCAAGAATGGGGAGGGAAACTTACCAAAGATATTGTCCAGCTGAACTATTCAAGCCTTGACACTCGGACGCTGAACAGTGGAGTTCGCGTCTGCCAATGGTGGGGGACGTTGACTCGAGCCTCAGTTTCGTCCTGCAGCCGTGCTAGATGATGGATGACCACCGATTACGGCGTTGCGAAAGCTCACAACCAGAATGCGGGATGGCAGGCAAGGGCGGGTCCAGGAGCACCAGGAGAGAGTCTGGGGACAAAAGAGTCAAGGACAAGATGGATGGTGTCAAAGAAACTTCATTGTGAGATAGGTAGGCAGACTAAGCACATGACGACAGAGTTTGGGTTGAGTCAATTCCTCCATCTTGCCCCAGTAGCAGGACGGGGGAGCCAACCAAGGGAAGACGGGAAAAAAAATCTTTGTCGGTCGGCAACTCTAGGCGTGCTAGGAGTGAGAATCTCGGCTAGGCCTGGGAGGAAAAGGCCAGCTCCTGACTGGCTGCCTGAACGGCTGTGGAGGGGCCAAAATTGGACCAATTCGGGGGCTCAATTGGGGCCATCCCCATGGTTTAGTGGCCATTAGCAGTGCTGCAGCCCGCTGTGTCACCCCGTGCCGCGCAGCGACCCGAGCAGGCAGGGCAGGGCACCAGCGGCAGGCGCGCTGCAGTATGATGCCATCCGGCCAAGCAGCACCTACAGTGCGACATCGTAAGCCGCGCATCACTCACCGATGAACAGGTTTGTGCATCCTCGTCACAGGGCCCTCATCAACCATGCACGATGGTGGGGGGCCAGCGGCGTGATTGGCCCCAAAATGGCGGGGTCACGAATATTTGGGATGCGACATGCGCGGACAGTGCAGGACATGTACCTACCCTAAAGTCTAAACCGTCCCGAACAGAGTCCAACGGCTGCGCGGACTGCGCTAGGCACCCTTCTGCCTTGCATTAGCTGAGGCGGACGGAGAGTACCTCCGAACACGGGTGTTTCGACAGGGAACGCTGCACTGTGAGCCAGATTTGTACCTCCGTAGCCGGGATGCTGGCTGGCAGTATCTCACACCAATGGGAAAGCTTGTCTAGTTGACACCCGTAAGCTATGAAAAAAAGACCTCTTGTCCTACCAAGCAGCACTCATGCAGCCGATCGGATAAGTGTTTTCATGTCATGTACTTTGATTTTAGTTTTCGGCCTGCAGCGACCTGGCTCTAGGTCGCCTCCACCGCTTGATCCAGCCACCTGCAAGTCTGCGACATCACCCCTGGGCCCTGGTGGAACGAAGCCTAAAGAAGCCCTAGTAGGAAAAACTCGATGACAGGCCTGGAGCTCTCCGATCACCACTTACTATCGGCCTTAGGTAACCACACCAAGCAGCAACACAACTGTCTTGACAAACTCAACTAGCGAGCGTGAGAAGTGAAATATCCGACGTCTCAAGCTAGCGCACCTGCACCGCCATGAAGGTCCTTGAATCCCAGACCGCCGTGCTCTCCAATTTCGAGGTCCATGAGCACCTGGCGGAGCTCCAAAGCCGCAAAGAGAAAAAGAAGCGTCATGCACCACCATCCAACCAAGGCATGGTCGTTGACCGTGTAGGTCACCAAATCATCCCATTGCCCTGACGACACAGGCAATCAAGATGTAGCCCACTGACAATCTTTCCCAGACCCTGGATTGGTTGCGTTTGGCGCCCAGTCCGCTGAGCCAAACACCCACCACATACCATGCTGATTCCATCCCTACCCTCCTGGAGCGCCTTCGCCCTTATGACCTGACTAAGGGTGAACTCATCATGATCCTCAATCTGCGGCCCTGTTCAGTTCCAGCTCTGAACACCACGATTGAAGACATGGAAGTCCGCTTCACTGAGGATCAGCAAATGGAGATTCTGACTATCATCACCGAGGTCCTTGGCCAGTTTGACCCCCCTGAGGAGACAGAGGATGCGGAAGCAGTTGCCGACACATCCATGGCGGATGCTCAGGGATCGTGAGATCCTATAACTCACCCCTGAGATACTACTGGAAACGAACTTTTTGAGGATATAGCGAGGCGTTATCAATGGTTAAATTCACAATCCGCTTGCCTTGTCTGTTTAAGCACATTCTGTTCTTGGTTTACATGACGGTGCAGCCGCCTTCGCTCTGACCACCCGCCGCCGACTTGCATTTTATAGCAGTCTTGCAAAGATCTTCAAACGCCAGCTTCAGCAGCCCTCCGGTTACCGCTGAGCACTCAATGTACCGGTCAGCCCTGAGCTGCTGCGCAGCCTGATACCCTTCCTGCGGATATATGATGCCGTTTGGATCATCTTCCGATCTGAGGTCCCTTTTCAGACCTAATATAACAATGGGGAGCGAGTCAATCTTCTGGAGGCTCTTCTTGACTTCATCTATCCACTGCAATACACATTGTATAAGCGATCGTCTGAAACACCAGGGAAATGTTAGCACGGGGGGCGATGGCAAACTGACATATCTCTTCATATTAATCATGCTCATCCGCTGGCTGATATCGTAGCATATAGTCACAATGTCAGGATCCAACGTCCTCCAGTTCTCCGGGCTCGATGTGTCGTAAAACTCCAGGCGATACTCGGCACCCGAGAGCTTGATCTCGAAGATAAAGGGCTGGTCGATATCACGGAGGAGAGGAATGGGATTCACATTCTCTCCTGCGCTGAGTCTCCTAGGAAGCCACATGTGGTGAGCAATCAGGATGGCATCACTTGCGGAAGACGTGAAGGGATCATGTAATTACGGACGATAGGAAAGTTGTTTTGCCACATTTTTCATCACCGACAAGAAGCACCTTGATGACTTCGGATTCCATGCTTTCGGTTTACAGTATGAGAGGTGATGTAGGTGTTTAATCGAAGCATCTCGACGTATGCTCTCTTAGTGAAATGAGATAGGAAGATTGCCCGGTTAGACGAATCTTGTTAGTCGTCCAAATGACTGATGGGACCCCACTTTGTACCGCCACAGGCACTTCTTATCTCAGCTTTGGGGGTGACGGGCTTGAACAAGGCCCCGAGCTCACCGCATCCGACGACAAGTCAAGTATTGTCCGGGTTTGATAATTATACCATCTGCATCGCATTACATTCGGCTTCATGTTATATAGCCTTGTGAAGGATTGTATTGGACTTGAATGTTGAATGATCACGGTGCACCGCCACATCTAGTCAGCGCCACAATTCAAGATTTCACCCACCAAAATGCATACAAGACGCAACCACTCACGTTGAGGTGAATAGACAGAGCAAGTTAAAAAAAAAAAAAAAAGTAACAACTCCACTACCCACACCTTAATGAGACGACTCCCGCGTATCAGCGTCTGGAGTCGAGCTCCCAGGGTATCTATCAGAGCTGGCCGCACCCCGGCCCTCACAAGGAATATCAGCACAAGGAATAGCAAAACGTCAAAGGCCCTGGTAAACAAAATGGCCGCCAATGTCGACTACGGCAAGTGGTCCAAAGATAGTCTCATTGAGCGGCTGGTCCAGCTGGAAAAGGAGTTGCAGGCCCGTCCTGCCGCTCCGGTAGTGGGAGATGCGGCCGCGGAAGACGCCCAGCCAGCTGCTCTTAAGAAGCGAAAGGAGAAGCCAAAGATGGACCCCACGACCAAGTCGTTCCGTTTCATCGCCCTCAGGCTGGCATATCTGGGGCGCAACTACGGAGGCTTCGAGTACTCGGCCAGCGGCGTGCTGCCAAGTATAGAGGAGGAGCTGTTCAAGGCGCTGACCAAGACGTGCCTCATCTTTCCCGAGGACGAGCGTGCGGTGGACTTTGGCAACTGCGAATACTCCAAGTGCGGGCGCACGGATCGCGGTGTCAGTGCCTTTGGGCAGGTCATTGCCCTGCGAGTGAGAAGCGCAAAGCCAACGAGTGCAAGCAGAAACAAGAGGAAGAAGGTGGTTGAGCAGACACAAGGGGCCGAAGCTCAAGCTGAGGCCGCGCAGACAGAGTCGGAACCCATGGAGACTGATACCCCGGAGCCACCGCCCTTCGACCCTATCCGAGATGAGATCGACTACCCCAAGGTCCTCAACCGGGTCCTCCCACCAGACATTCGTATTCTCGGATGGTGTCCGTCGCCGCCGCCCGACTTCTCTGCGCGCTTCTCGTGCCGTGAGCGCCAGTACCGCTACTTCTTCACCCAGCCGGCCTTTAGCCCATCCCTGCCTTCTCGGGGTCAGAAGAACGTCGGCTGGCTTGACATCGACGCCATGCGGGATGCCGCAAAGCGCTACGAGGGGGAGCACGACTTCCGCAACTTCTGCAAGATCGACCCCGCAAAGAACATCACCAACTTCAAGCGGGGGATCCTCGAGGCCACGATAGAGGAGGTCCCCGATATGGGGTCGGCCATGCAGTATCTGAGCTGCCCCCCGAACTTGAGCGCCACTGAGAGCGGGCAGCTCCCCAAGGTGTACTGCTTCAAAGTCAGGGGCACGGCGTTCCTGTGGCACCAGATCAGAAACATGGTGTCGATCCTCTTCCTGGTGGGCCAGGGTCTGGAGAAGCCCGACCTGGTCGACAATCTCCTGGACGTCGAGAAGAACCCGAGACGGCCGGTCTACGTCATGGCCGACGAGGTGCCCCTCGTGCTGTGGGACTGCCTATTCACCGACGAGAACGGCGCAGACCTACCGTGGATACACGTAGAGGACAGCATCGACCCGGCGAAGCCCAACACGGCCTTTGGCACGACGGAGGGGCTGTGGAAGCTGTGGCGCGAGGTCAAGATGGACGAGATTCTCGCCAACAGGCTCCTCAACCTGGTCGCCCAGCCGCTCAACTACGACGCGCTGCCGGTCAAGGAGGGCCCGCCGTCGGTGAAGCTATTCGAGGGGGGCAACTCTGGACGGCAGGCGGGCAAGCACGTGCCTGTGATGAAGATGGCGCTGATGGAGACGCCCGAGGAGCAGAGCAACAAGTTTGCCCAGCGTAGGGGGTTTGCCAGCGCGGAGGATAGGGACCAGCAGCGTTATGCCAAGAAGGCGCAGGCCAATGCGGCCGAATAGACATCTCCTCGAGCAGTGTATACACTGTGGAATAGTAAAATAAAAATATAAATGAAAAGACCATTTAAAAAAAGGCGTAAGCAAGTATAACGCCCCATTCTAAAACTTTCCGTAAAAGGGTATCTTCTCATAACGATTCCATGATAAAACAGTGTTTCCCAAGTGTCCCAACGCCATTTTTTTCACCCCTTTTCACTCAATCCCCCCTCGGGGCGCCTTCTCATAAAGACACTCCCTCGCCTCCCTCCAGACCTTCTCGACAATGTGCCTCCGCGGCAGCAAGCCGGGGAACACCACCACCACGTCCTCCTCGCCCTCGACGACCACGACAAGATAGTACCTGACCTCGAACCCCCGGAACGCCTCGTTGACGAAAATGTCCTGGATCTTCTCCGTCGGGATGAACCGCGTCGCCGCGCTGGCCAGGTACGTCCGCGGGCTCTCGCTCGTCTGCACGCCCAGGCCCCTCAGCACTAGCAGGCTCTCGGACGAGTGCACGCGGAGCGCTATCCCATAGCACAGCGTCGCCGCCCCCGGGACGAGGAGGGGGAGGGGGATCCGCGCCGCCAGCCTCCCGAGCGCGACGCCGAGCCGCGAGCGGTGGAGGCAGCCCGCCATGTACCAGAGGGTTTCCGTCGAGAGCCAAGTTTGGGGCCAGAGGGGATAGGTGTCGAGGGGCTGCGCGAACGGGCTCTGCAGCCAGCGGGAGGAGAGGACGGTGCAGATGGTGAGGAGCAGCAGGAGGCGGAAAACGATGAGGACGGTTCGCAGGATCCGGAGGGAGAGGGTTGGCGGCGGGAGGGTTGTGACTGTGAACTCGGCCGTCGTGGGCGAGGGGCGCCGGATGCGCAGGTGCGGCAGGGTCGTGAGCATCTTGGCTGTTGCTTGCCCGTGGATGGAAGCTTGGGGATAATCGGTAGAGTGAAGGGGAGTAGAGCTATTCGAAGTTGTTCATGAAGTGCTTGAGTCTAAGCTTGGGCTTCCCATGGTTTAAGATCTCTTGTTCGATTAAAAAGGTCGGGTCAATTGATATTCATCGCTCCTCCATTGCTGTGATCTGCTAGTATGACAGCTATGGAATTGGATGTGGAAGTCGCAGGGGTGCGAGGTGGTGATGGCAGGTACATATCGGATGTACCTCTGACCCGGTGTTCTGCCGCGCTATACCCTTATAGTCCAAAAATTCAGCTCCCACTCCCGACTGTAATGGTCTAATGGTGAAGAGTTTCAATTTCTCGATTGCTTCTCTCCCAAATCCGTCAGATCCCCCCCGTGACGCCCAGACCGAACGCTGCGGTGGTCGCCCACTCGCTCAGGTAACTAGCGATTGTGGAATGCGCACCCTAAGCATTGGAGAGTACCCTTGAGGGAGGCTTCACTCTGCAGAGATCTCTCCCCCGTCGCGTGGCGGGCTGGATTACGATCGCGGGGGGTTTGGGATGATGGTTCGAGATGGAAACATCAACACTTCTTTTTTTTTTTTTGGCCCAATATTATTTATTTATTCGGGTTCAAAAAATTTATCACCAGGAGCGGAATGTCTGGAACTTTTATAATTCAAAATGCAGTAAATTGAAAAAACGTTCAATCGTGAATCGTAGCCCAAATTGAACCCCTCTGGTACCCAGACACTTGCTGGTGAAATGAGGTTATCGCCAAGTCGAATTCGTAAATATACCTCCTATCACTGTCAAATCAACCATTTTTTGGCTAGCTGAAAATCAAAAGCTATATTATCGAATTGCGCTTGTATTCTCTCTTCCAATATCACTCTTTTCCCACCAAATATACCTGAAACCGAGGAATCCATCCTTCAACATGAAGCCGTGAGGCAGCATTGTAAAACACATTCCTACACAACATAGAAAAGGGGGTACGGCAATGATTGTTTGTAGAAAATGTGAAAGGATAGCACAATGTCCACCTTTTCTTTTTCTTTTTGATCCCATATCCAATGTTATAATGAGAGTGAACCAGGATGTGTGTGAGGTAAGATCTCGCGGCCTCCTCATTGAAACGAAATATAATGAAGCGAGAGGGGAAAATCAAAGCAGAAGAGAAGTATATATCTTTGTAGGTTCGCTATAACAAAGGAAAAGTCGTCAAGTCGTCATAAACGTCTGTAATATCCTCATCCGGCCTTCAAAAGGACTCGCGCGGGAACGAGACCTGATGGCGGGGGAGATCCGAACAAATGATCCAAAAGTGAAAATCCAAGTACATGCCGATGTATATCGGGTCCGAGTATGCAAAATAATGCGTAGCCGCCACTGCCCGTAAATCCTATGTAAATGGTGCCAATCCACCAAAGTCCTGCTGGGCGTCATGCTAGCTTCCTCTTGTTCAAATGGTATCAGCTGTGAATGGCAAGAAACAGAAAAAATGCAGTACAAATAACGTGAACAAGTCGTTACTAATGTAAATGTAAAACAATGGCTGAAAGTCAAACTCAATCGATATATCCGGAAACTCGACATATAATCGCGATGAGCCAAGTCCGTGTCGAGGGAAATGGCACGCAAAAAGATAAATATAAAAAAATGCGCATGGGTTTTAGACCTCTAAATCATCTCGCTCTTATGCATTCCAGTTGACATGAAAGCGCCTCTGCCTTCTACAGGCGATCGAACAATGTCTTGGTCATACATGACGGGAGGGGGAATGGAAATACTGTGGTTGGCGCCAACTCCGGTCTTGAGATGTTGAGTTGGAACGCTCTCGTAAGGCGCCTCACCGTGAGGTGACCGAACCATGTCTTGATCATACATGGTAGAAGGAAGGAAGGGAACACTGTGATTGGCACCCATCCCGGACTTGAGGTGCTGAGTCGGAATGCTCTCGTATGGTGCCTCGACGTGCGGTGATCGCACAGCTCGGCCCTCCTTTGGTCCGCGACTCGCGGATCGCAGGCGCTCAGTTGCCTTGGAAATACGACCAGAGAGGCTCGTGTCTCCTGTGCTGCGACCTCGGCTATGGCTCTTCGAGGCTGGCGGAGCAGGAGGGGGGATCACCGGGACCATGCCGTCGTTGGGAGCTGCTACTGGTGCATCCCCTTCATCATCATCATCCATGACTATCTCGATCATTCCAGAGCCCAGGGCACCTCCCTGGGGCCGCCGCATATTAGGGAGAGGCGCGGGAGGAGGAGGTGGTGGTGTCGCCAGGTGCTGCAACTCCCTGAGCAAAGGCGGCGCAGGGGGTGGTGGCGGCGGTGGTGGCATGAGAGGCTCTTCTTGTGATCGCCGCCTACGATTGCCATTGACGATCTCATCAATCCCGCGAAGCTCTGCTGAGCTGCCCTTCCTGCGTCTTGGGGTCGGATCATCCGGTATAGGCGCCGACATGCTTCTGGGAATAAAAGGTCGGGTGGGCGGTTGATACACAGTCGAAGGCAGCAGAGTAAATGGATCCGCTTGCTGCGGTTGCGAAGTGCTCGGGCGCTGTTCATACGAAGGCTCCTCTATCTTCTCAGCAACAAATGATGGTGGAATAGAAGGAATCTTCGGTAATTCCTGAGCACTCTCTGCATCATATGCAAGCCTCATAGCCTTGGGTGTTGCAGGGAGACCAATAACCGGAGTTTGTCTGGCTGAATTGAACCCGCCCTTGGGTAATGGCGCTGTGGCACAACGGGGTTGTTCACCAGGCGATGGCACGGGGCTCGAAGTTTCGACTATAACATGTCTAATATCCATCGAGTTCTGGCCTGGGTTTGGAATTGAAGGTGCTCGTGCGCGCTGCGCAAGGGACTTGCGGCGTTCTTCAAGTTCTCGTGCAGCTTGTTCCTTCTTTCGCTGTCTCTCTTCCTTCATCAATCGCAAGTCGCCAGCATGCTCAGTCGAGGCGGCTCGGCCATGAACACTAGGAGGAGGAGGGGGAATGTCACGAAAGTCAGAAACATCTCGACGGCGGCTGCCGGAGCGGTCGCGCTTGGTTGCGACTGGTGAGCTGGGTCCCCGTGAAGCACTACCATTATGTTTTGCTCTGAACATTTCCTGTGCCTCTATGGCCCTTCTGTAATCTTCTTCATCCTCAGAGCCCTCGTAGTGAAGGATCGTGGCAGAGAGAGGCGGCGCAGGCGACGTTGCCTGTAACCCCTCCTCATCAACTCCTTTACTTCGGCCCCGGGTGTCCAAGGGTGTAAGTCTTGCGCGACCATCAGGGCTTTGACGCCGGCTGCCGCGGCTGGAATTTCGGCTCTTGGGCTTTGACACCTTGTAGGTACTACTTGTCTTGCGGACAGTCACCGGCTCGCCAACCTCAGCTGCTCGAGGGGTGCTCAGTATAGCAATGTCTTCAGGAGACATCGGAACTGGGGAGGTTGGTGATCTCTTTGGCTTGTGCCAAGCTCGGGAAGAGCCTCGGCCACGTTCCTCTGAAGGTTCTCGGGATCTCGTTCTCCTCTCAGCGCTTGCATTCCTTCCGCGCGAAGAGTCTCGGGTTCTCTCTTTGCTGCTGTGGAGGTTGCGGCCCTTCTTCGAGTATCGGGACGCAGCATCAAGACTGTGAATATAGTCGTCCTTGTGCCTTTGGCCCTGTCGCAGGCTCCTTCCGGCGCTGGATGCAGAGGTAACGGAACTCACAGATCCAGGACCGCGACGACGGGTTGGCGTTGGCCAATGATATTTGGATGAAGAAGGCATTGCCTGGTCAGGAGAGAGGGCATTTACCTCGTTCGCGAGAGCCTTGAGCTCCAGATGAAGACCGTGGGGGATTCTATCCCGAGATCCGTTTCGGTGGTTGGCGCGAATGTCGTGGACCTTGGCCATGAAGTCCTTGTTTGGCGAGGGCGGAGATGGCTGGTTGTTTCGGTGTTCAACAGGAGTCTGAGTCTGCCTGTCACGCACCATCATGGGACTTGCAGTGGCTGCCCGGTGCAATGTGTTGCCGATGACAAGGTTATCTTGTTCCAGAGAAGCCTTGCGAGCATGAGCACCAACTTCTTGTTTCTCTTTCTTGAAGGATGCCAATGCTGCATCGATCGCAAGCCGATTGTTAGCATCCATGGTATTCTCACCGATGGAAGGTAGTCGACCTCTAGGTCGGGCAGAGGTCGGGGTATTGAACCTGCTGTTGCTTGACGGGCGGAGAAATGCAGTGGCTGCATCATAAGCTCCGCCTGGTGAGATTGCAGAATCGGCGATGGGAGTAGGCCCTGCCGCAATGGGAGTTTGTCCATCATCCCCTTGAGAGTAGAATTTAGCCTTCTTTCCAGTGTCTCCGAAGGAGGTGATTAATTTCAAGGCAGAAGTCTTGGCGATGCTTCTTTGAGGACCACGCTGAACCCCAGGGGGTGAGAGGGGTGGGCTCAGCATTTCGGGTATGCTGGGCGTAATCGTCTGCTGTTGAAAGTTGAGCTGCGTAGCGGAAGGAGATGTCCACGCTTCAGTTGGCTCGGAGTCCGTGCAGGCAAAGCATCGGATTGCGAGCTGCTCGTTACGTCGCATTATCTCATGCTTGCCCCATTTGCGGATAATCGAGGCTTGACGCTCCCAAACACTAGGAAATACCAGGCAAGTGAGGATCAAGGCCTCCATATAACGCTTGTGAGAAACGTATACTTCAATGGCATCGTTATGATCCCCCATTCCTAGCATAATGGTCACCGCAACGTGGACATCCCCCGTCTCCAGCAACCGTTGCACATACGTGCGACCGACCTTTTGCTGTGAAGCTTGGCCACCAATGCCGCTTAAGGCCAACAACATCCAGTCTGAGGAAGTCATGTTTTCTGTTCCCGCCGCCATCAAGTCCGTCTCCATCTCACCCAACCATTTGGCGAGGAGAATGCGGTTGGCTGACCCTGCTGGGTGGCGACTCATTTCATCAGCGATTAGGTCCTCGACATCCTTGTGCCATCCAAATATCGTGCTGAGCATTTGCCGACGTAGGTCGTCGTTTGTTAATCGTGAATTGTTTGCGTTGGCGGGATGCTTGTATGGCAGGTCGGTGAGACGAGTGCGCGTGTATTTAAATAGATCATGCACCCTGTTGTCATCAGGACTTCGGGGCACCTCGTTGCGAAGTCTCGATGGCCGATGCCTCGAGCGGGTTGAAGGGACAGAGGGAACACTTGTGGTCCCAATGGAGTAGCCCATCGAGTACATGTCCACCTCTTGCCTTCGACCATATGCGCTATTACCAATGGTGGAGGATTTCAAGGATGACCCAGCTGAGATGTAGGTATTTTCCGTCTTGTTTCCGCGAGATCTAAGTGATCCGGTATGTCTTCCGGGGGTTTTCGAACCCCCTGAGGACCTCGAAATTTCGGATGCCTCGCTTCGGCTGGAAACGGGACTGCCCGTCGTCTCATACGGCAGCTCACTGCCAGAGTCAAGTGCGGGCCTACGGACGAATCGATCAAAGGGCGACAGGTGATCCTCGTCACTCTCAGATACACCCAGTTCGAGTGGGATGGAGCTGTTCTCTGACTCGGAGGTGTGTATGGTTGTGGTTGAGTGTGTCGACTTGGCCTCAGGCTCCTCAATGGAATTCGGCGGCGAAGGAGGCAGTGAGTTCACTGGATGTTGCACATTGCTCACCATGATTGATGGCGTATTTAGATCAAATTGCTGCACCGTGCCGCCTCTCCCCAAGGTGAATAGGATGGCTCCTGGTCCCCATAAGGCAAGACCTCTAACATGCTCCAGCGTCGGGATGTTATCCGATGTGACATGCTTGGTCCTTACATCCCATGAGAGTGTTTGTCTATAGAAAAAAGGAGGTCAAAGTTAGCTTGTTCGTCGGTTACTAGATCCAGGGACCAAACGCATCATCCGTGCGACCTCCGCACAAGTGCCACACTTACGAATCAGAGAATTGGATAACACGGCCGTTCTTCGACCAGCCCATCCAGTTAGGGCCTTCCGAAAAGTTCTCGGACCTCTTGAGGATCCTCACGACTTTCGCTGCGTCCTCGGCTGAATGCGACTTTGCGATGCTCCACACCCGAAGGTCTCCGTTGAGGGTTTGCGTAGCAAGCATGTCAGATTTTTGACGAGAAGAGGACGCATGCCAAGACAGAGTTACTAAGGGTGAGGGTGCTCTGGATGTTGTGAGATTGTGAAGTATAGTGAAGCGGGGCTGAAGGGTGGCGATGAGAAGTGTGCCATTTTGATATCTGCAAACCGGTTAGAAAGACGTCCGTGGGATGGGCCGGGGATGATTCTCACCCAATAGCAAACGTCCTGCAATCTGACGAAGGAGCTAATGATGTGACGGGTATTTGGTCCAAGGTTCTAGATGATATATGCTCCGACGTCGTTGGTTCAAATAGTATGATACTTCCTTGCATATTGCCTGTGTGTTTTCAGTTAGTGAAACGAGTTCGTAAGCTGCTACGGGCCCCAGCTGAATTCTTGAGTTCCATCACGTACCAAAGGCAACACTACCGCTCTTCATCCATGCCGCAGCAGTCAGATGTTCGTAGGATGCAAATCGGGCGACCTCATCCCCCGTCGCCAGATCCCAGACGATTGCCGTCTGGCCAGCATCGTAACTGACCACAAAGCGACCACTGCCGAGATCGCTATGGTTGTCCACTGCAAGGAGCTGGATCTCCTCGGCGTGGCTGGAGAATATTCTCTCTATGCTCAGGGTGTCATGCTGGCAGCAGATGACGGACGCGCCCTGGGCATAAAGAAACATGTTTCCAGTGGCTGCACAAGGCTCGAAATATCTCTCATGTGGCATGGCAGCGAATTCCTGTTGTTGCGCAGGCCGCATGGCGGTCGACCGTCCCGAGCCCTTTGAGGGGGCCCGGTGCCTTGATGAGGCCGCGGCAGACATGGCAGACTGGATATCTTTTGGTGTGTCTAGTCTCGCAGAACCAGAATGAAAATCAGTTGGGTGGCTGTAGAAATGCCACAGTAGTCGGGGGAATGTCCCCTAGGGATACTCCCCTTGGCCGACACGGGAAGCGTCAAGTCAGTCCGGGTGGTGTGTAACGAGACACAACACTTCCACCACACCGCACCGATGCAAGTGAGCGCAACCCTGCCAGACCGGGAGCCCTCTCTGCTGTGCGCTGCAGTTCTCACTGGTAGACCATCACAAGACCAGAACAGCCTTTCCCATTGCCCAAAACCCTCGCCGGGTTGCTTTATTTCCAATCACCCGCCCAATAAAGCCCGTCGAGACCGGATCGTCGCTGAGGCCGTCTATTTCGGAGTGATCCACCGCTTCGGCACAAGACCTGAGTGGCGCAGTATGTAGGACCGGTCGCGATGGTGGAATTCGGGACGTACGGGGTTCTATGTCTCGGTACAACAATAAATATACAGTGCAATTGAAATGCAAGAATCGGAGGGACGGTGAAAGAGTAGAGAAGGAGGAGAAGTCGTCTGGGAACGACAGGATGTGTGGGAGCCGGGGCGCTTTTGCAATGGTCACAGGCGAATGCAATTGCCCGATGAGCACGAGTGGGGCCCGGCGCTTGTTTCGTGCAGCAGCTTGGGGTCTAAGGGAAGGGGGATGGATGGGATTGCAGGTACGGGTTCCAACTAGGAGGGCGTTCGTGGGTGGGTGAATGTATTAGACTGCTAACCGCCTCACAGCTGCAGGCCGGGAATGGCTGTGGGAGCGGAGGAGGGGGATGTGAGAGGCCAAGAGAGACTCATACGTACATGACATGGGCTGACAAGCGCAGTATGCGACGACACGTAAAGAGCAAACAAGAATGGATGGAAAATAGAATGAGAAAAAAAAGCAATAAAACAGAAGGTTGGGGGTCTGCCATGGATATCAGGACCGGGAGGTAGACTCGAGGTGTGTATGGTACGTGTGATGGGCAACCAAGATGGGCCGAAGTCAGAGGATGGCGCCTAAAGGTCCCTAGACTGGCCTGTCAGTGGTTGAGAGGTCGGCCACATAAAATTAGAGCCCTGTCCGCAGATGGAGCCCTCGAGGAATCGACGAGCGGATACGGACCGGTATCCAGGCCAAAGAGCTGCTGCATGGCCCAGGGTACCCCTCACGCAAGCACCTATCCCTACCTCTGAGTAGGTACATGCGACTATCGCTGGCCCGACACTTTTGGGACAAGCCACAAAAGGAAAGGCAACGTCGATGAATGGTTGGGCTGCTGCGGATGGGTGGAGCGCTTGTTTCCATCCTCATTGTCGTGCTGCAAATTGCCCATAGACACCGTCCCTGTCCCTACCATCTGCACTGTTCGCGATGAAGCAGACGCCCGGACAGACTGGTGATGCCATGAAATTTGGCCCAGGCTAGGTCGGATATCAAGGCCGCCATGGGCCGTCCACGTGTGCTGGCTTCATTGACAACAACCATTACAACCACATGGATACCTGGGTAGTAATTAACAGCTGGCGCTTTTTGATCTGATTCCAATTTGGTCTGCGCTGCATCAATCTGCCGACTCCGTATGGAGTGCATCCAGTCGGTCAGTGAATATGCATGCCATGTTGTCTTTTTGCGTGCTATGTATGGACTCTTTTTCTTTCCTTTTGGGCTATTTCTGGTCTTCGTGTTAAAACCCTTGCGCCTCAGGTGCATGGCAGCATAAAGGTAACGTCAGCCAGCAATCAGATCCAAAACGCATTTGCACGCAAGGTACTGTATCACCCATTGGCGTTTCGTGTACTGAGCGGTTACAACCCCCCTCTCCCCTTGCGGGGTTACGGTGGTACAATAACGCTGTGGATGGGACGAGAACAGGACTCGGGCTCGCAGTAGTCGAGAGGCAAACGGACGGTTGATAGGAGGGTGAGCCAGGACATTGGGCGAAAGCGCCCTCGCTTGATAGCCTGTAACTGCAGCCCATGCTAGCGTTCGCCTCGATGGGAGACCCAGATGGGCTCATCCACTGGCCGGCTTCTCCGCTTGTGCTGGCCCTGTGCGGTGTCGATTCGTGCTCTGGATGATTGCTGGAGCGCCTGGGATAGGGATTCGATGGATGTGCTTGGATTCAAGGCGGGGCTGTTGAGCGACGACGTTCAATCGAAGCGGCTGTCGAAGCGCCGAGGTCTATGGGGCCTGCTGATTGGCCGGCACTTATGCAAGTGCGTTTCCGGGACGGACCAATGGGAGTGCTGATCACGGCTGTCGACAGGGGACCCAGAAGCCCCGCCTTCGGCCCCTATTCCTTAGTGCCCATCCCGTTAAAATGGGCTATCTTGCCTAGAGTCTGGCGCCAGACTTGCGCCAGACTGCTCCTAGCGGCAGTGGTAGTGGCAGTGGCAGTGGCCCCCGCTCTGACGCTGGCTGCCAGGGGGTTGCCCTCCCCCTGCTGTGATTGCTGCACACTGCGCAGGCGCTCCCTCCACCACGGCTGCCCTAACCTGATACGGCCCGCACCACGCCGTGATGGCTCTACCTGCTGCCAACGCTGGCAAGAGTGTGCGGGCAAAGTACCTGCCTCACTTTGGCGCTGTTGTTGGCTGCCCCCCAAAGTGTCTCACCTGGATCGTCTCGCTATTCTCCTCCTGTATGGCTAGTCCTGCATCGACTTCGACAACAGCTTCTGCCTCATTCGGTGTAGCAGAAACAGGCCAGCCCCGTTGGGAATGACCTGCTTCGGTCGCCGTCGCATCTTGAGATCTGAAAGATCACATCTCATCCGGTGCATGTCGTGCCATGCCCAACCACCGCTGTCGGCCTCTGTCTCCATTCCGACAGCGATCCTAGCACAGGCCAGTCATGGGCGCGATATCAATTGGCACTTATCGCCGTTCTATTTCAAAATCTATACGAACGTCTACCTCCTGCTAGGTAGGCCGGAGGAGCAGCGCCCATCCTGCCAACTCTGACGTAGGCTGGCGTCCCACGACTGCGTTGCAGCCAACAGCAGGACGCAATCCATTGCGGCGCTGCTCGTGAGCACAGCAGGTCTACCCAAAGATGCACAGCAGTCGGCACAGCACGCTGCATGCACTTTAGATGGGGGCACCATGTATGCATGTACCTACATTCTGTATCACGCACAGCAAGACAAGTGCGGGCGGTTCTCTGAGTGAGTGCACGCACTCGAGAACCAGCAGTGCGCGGCCAAGTGCGTAGCCCGCATATGGCGCCTCACCCCAGTCACACATCATTACATATTCTCAGCTCCGAGGCCCAACCTCATCTGCGCTGAGCCTTCAACAATGCTGATCAAATTGGACTGACGTTTTTACATGGTAGCTTGACATTTGGCCCTAAATCCTTCGTCAGCAGGGTTGGACCCCGTCGGCGCGAGGAGCAGCCCCCAACCTCGACGACTATCACCGACCAACAACACTAATCACTTAGGCTTCAGATGCAGTAGCTGGCCGCAGTGTTCGCGACCTGCCATGCCAATGCATACAGGCACACGCAGGTATCCAGGAAACAACGGGCGGATCTCATCACTCGCAGCCCCCAGCGGCCCCAGATGCCGTGCTGTGGCCAACAACCAATCTACATAGCTCCCACTCCTCCCTCTGACGCCGGGCCATTATTCGAGGGCTGGTGCATCAAGGACAATGAGAAGATCTCTAGTCCGTTTAATAACCAGTCCACGCTATATCAAACGGCATAGAGCGCAGGGCACGGGAAATAATGATAGCACCCCGTGACATCGCTCGGGGCCAATGATGAAGTCAAAGCCATATCGGGTGCTGTAGGTTCCTGGACCAACATGAACCCCGTGCACGCTGCTGTGCTCTCCCCACACGGCAGCGAGAAAGGGCTCTTACCCAATGCAGCACCACGAACCACCTATTCTTCATGGGTGGTCAGTTTTCCGGCCGATGGCTGGTCGGTGTTAAGGCGGCTTTGATGGATCACGGAAGGGATTGCTCAGATCATAACTAATCCCCAGCCCTGCAGGCCGCCTTCGCCGCCACGACAGAATCCTAGTACGGAGCTTCGGCTGTTTCAGCCATCATTCGTCCAGTGTTCGTTGGTCGGTCAGCAGCCACGCAAATCGGGTCCTCTTTGCCACAGCCTCTCTCTCCGCTAGTTTTGCCAGATCGAGGCGTCGAGGCGTCGAGGCGTCGGGGAGTGTGTTTCATGGGGACCAGTTGTCGCTGCCGAGTCCTGGCCGCCCCTGGTGGCGAAGTCTTGGCCCCAAAAACGTGCGTCGAGGGCTTTTGGACCTGGAGATTCATGAAGATTGTGGGGATCCAAGTCCCGTAGAGCTATACGTACATGCATACATAACACTTGACCATGCGCACAGATTATCCTCTACTTTTCATTGGAACAAACAACAGCACTCCGCAGCCAATCAACAACTCCCAACGATATGACTGGTCCTCGTCCAACCTCGCCTAAAAGACTCAATCAATCAACTGCTCAGCATAATATCCGACGAGCGCCGAGATTCGTGTTCTGACGTAGAACAACATCATTTCGCTCGGGTAACACACAAACACCACGTGCAGGCCTGCCCTGCCAGGTAGGCAGCTGTTTGCCATGCGAGAACATCCCTCCGCGCAAGCCTTCGACTGGGAATCCTGGCCGGCATGCGTCGAGCACAATGTCAATGGTACATGGCATCACGCCCATAAGCTCGTAAAGGGCCTTGCTTGCTATCAGCAAGACAACTGTTACACGTATGATAGGTGCAATATGTATGCCGCATGCACCCACATCAAATTGGCCGCATGCAAGATGCACGTAGTTCCCGATTAAGATCCCGTTCCGCCATTATGGTAGCACTTTGTTTTTTCCAATTTCCGCCCTATCCAGTCTCTTTCGTTCGGGGCTACCGGGAAGGCGGGGAGGTTCTCGCTCGGATCATGCATTTCGCTTCTGCCATGTCCAACAATATCCCATCGCTAATATTGGGGGTCGCAGTTGCAATG